CGATAATTCGCTTGCGCATAGGGGTCTTTAGCAGTGGGAGGAAACCGGAGGACCCAGAGAAAACCCACGAGGTTGGACAGGCGACCCTTCTTCTTGTCACGTAGAACCAGGGAATCAAAACCACACCAGTTGACTCAATGACAGACCTTGTGATACACCATGCACGCGCTAACCATTGACCATCCACCCCACCCCGCGGTAAATACATACAATATCATATATGGAATTTAACTTCAAATTCTTTCATCAGATTCTGGGAATTGATACATGATATGTATTTTATTATCCCTCTTATTTGTTGAAGTTTATTATTTAATATCATTTCCAATTGAAGGGTTCCTCCAAACATTTAAATTTTATTTGATAAATCAGAACTTTTTGTGAAAAGAAAGGAGATGAATCCCATCCCCCTACCAAATTTAAAATCGATTCAAAATACCATTGGATGAAATGGGGTTAAACTAAACATCCACTGGACATGAACTAGATAACATATGGTACAATTTATTTACAATAATTCGCTTGTGTGTAGTGGACTTTAACAGTAGGAGGACCCAATGAAACCCATTGGAATATAACAATGAATTGTACTGACCATTTGCATATATTGGTTTTCTAAATGGTGGGCCCTTTGAGAAGGAGAATGCTACAGCTATGTACATGTAGGATGATACTAGAAAGACAACGGTACTCTCCCAACATTTAACATGTTCAGCTGATCCATCAGGGACAATAGGTGTAAACCTAAAAATATACAATAAATAACATATTGAATGGTACATGTACTCTCCCCCTTCCAGCGCCATCTCATTAAGAATCCATTAGAAGCTTAAAACCAAATAATTGAATCAAATTATCAGAGTATAGTAGCAATCAGACTACATGTAAAATCTCCTTAAGAGTCCATAGAAGATTAAAACCAAATTATTGAATTAAATTATCGGTGACTCACAGAAGCAATCAGAGATTGAGAGATTGTCCTACTGTTATGCATTATCCAAAATGAAATGGGGTTTAACAACGTACTGTTCAGCTCCAACTGGGCATACGCCATACAGTGTGCTATAAGTGAAATTTTGCTCGGACTATGGCCTACTCTTATATCGAACTCCAAATGTCAAGGGTTCTTTTACATGCATGCTAATGTGTACACAGGACTTTGTTTTTTTGCCCCATCCAAACAACTTGGCAAGGGGAAACCATGCTTGAAAATCCTGACGAACATTCTCTGCCATTCACTGATATAAACAATACATATGTCACATAAAATATCTAGATTTCATAAAGTAATCAAGGGTAAAAACTCTGAAAGTAATTAGAGAGAGAGAGAGAGAGAGTGCAGAAACCACGCCATTTGCACCAAACGGGCATTTCAGATAGGAAAATAAAATGAAATGGGCTAATGAAGACGGGCATACAGTGTGCTATGTTGGGGGGGGGGGGGCATTGACAAGGGGAAAATCACACCGGGAAAATCCCGATGAACTTTCTCGGCCAACACCGGGATCGAACCCGCGACCTCCAGGCTAGCCAACCAGCGTCTTGCTCACTTGGCCACCGTGGCTCCATTTCAGATGGGACAAATGACCAGTGTTAAAACATCTTACATAGAAGTATCTGGAACAGAATTTCATATTTCAGACGTCTGTTTGTGAAAATCAACTTGTTAATTCAATGTAATGGGGTTTAACGTCCTACTTTTCTACACCAACCGGGATAAAAGACAGATAAGAGAGAGACAGAGAGAGAGAGAGAGAGAGAGAGAGAAAGAGAGAAAGAGAGAGAGAGAAAGAGAGAGAGAGAGGTTTTAACGTCCACTCCACTCGACACAAACTAGGCCATTTTGGGACTAACATATGGTTTCATTTTATTTCAATAATTCGCCTGCGTGTAGGGGTCTTTAGCAGTGGGAGGAAACCGGAGGACCCGGAGAAAACCCTACTCCTTGTCACGTACAACCGGGAATGAAACCACACCAGTTGAATCAATGACAGACCTTATGATACAGCGTGCACATGCTAACCATTCGGCCATCCACCCCCACTAAAGTTATTATAAGAAATATTTGAAATAAAAAGAATGAAAGTTTATCACATACCAGGTTGTTTGTGTTTGAAGATAGAAGAAAGCACCAAGTTGAAAGGCAAGTACTAATAATACTTGTATTATAATCGATAATAAATTAGATAATTTCACCAAACTACCAGGTGGTTTCTTCTTTACTAATTTATCATATGCTGATGTATAACCCACTGAAAATAACAAAATTATAAAATATACAATAAATTATACACCAGAAAGTAACTCAATGTTTAGACAATTTAAGAGATAAGGTGGCTATGAAGACCTGGTTATCCCGAATGTCAGTGACTAGTTTCGTTCGTATTAAACTCTTCAGACTGATTGGACTCCCGTGTTGGGCATTTTTATTTATACTATTCCGAAACCCTGGTGGGGTTTCCATGGTTACTAAAACCTAACAACTTTATGGAATTCATGACAAATCTAAACTTGGGCACTCCAACCATTTTTATTTTTGTATCTCAATGTTTAGACAGATAAATTCTTACGTTATTTTTATCATGATATATTTTTGACATTTGTACGAGTACTTAATCATGTAGCCTATAATGAAATGAATATAAATGGGTGGTGGGTATACATATATATATATAAATTCCTACTGTTCTGCACCAACTGGGTTTTTGAAGACGGACGTGTGCCACAAAGAACATTTTGCCAGGAAAGTGGCACTACGGCCTACTCTCATTTTAAATTCCACCTGTCAAGGATTCTTTTAAGTGCATGCCAATGTGTACAAGGGACCACATGTTTTTTTTGTCCCATCTGAACTACTAGACACTGTCTTTGCCAGGCCATCCCGTCCTGCACCACGTTACGATTAATAAACCACCTATCATTTCTACGTAACGTCTGTTGTGTCTGCCATCATTTTTTGATTCAGCAGCTACTCAGATCTATTGGCGTGTCCAGTCTCTGTTACTTTTTTAAGAGAGAGTAGCTGCCCCCCCCCCCCTTCTCCTTTATTTTCATCAAATGTTACTTACTTAATATAGCTATAGATGTTGTGATTATTAAATCTATGTACAAAAATTCAAAATCTGAAAAGTTAGCACCAAACTGAAAAATATAAAAAGTTCTGAATAAGTTAATCTACACGTACTATTTGTTAAACATTACACAGTGTTACATGTAGCAATCTCCAATTTTGATTCATTTTCAAATTACTATTCAAATTGTAAAACATTGTATGTACTCAATATTCAGTGGGTAATATTGCATGAGGAGTTGAGTGGACATAGGGCACCTACATAATGACCGACTGAACAGATCCAATTTCGGTCGTTTTCAATAGCCCTTGGTCTTGACTGACATATACGGCCGGAATAGAACCCATGGTGTCAAGTGTTATGTGATAATTTGTGTCTGACAATGTCTAAGACAGGTTCCTTGTATGTCCAGGCTTGATGAGTGATTTCGATCATACGGTATGACATCGAGTCAAGTAGGGTCGCCTGCTCAATCTCAAATTATTGTAATAGAATTGAGCATGTTAGTCCCGAAATGACCTAGTTTGTGCCAAATGGATGTTAAATAGAGCAATAGGTATTTGTCCTGAAACTATATTTCATTGGTTATTTGGGGAAACTGTATTTTTTCAGTAAAATCCCATAGAAATTGAGTTTAGGTTAATGTCCTATTCACCTGCACCAACTGGACTAATAGAAACAGGAGTACAGTGGGCAATGAGGGAGATTTTTGCCCAGACAGCAGCGCAGGGCTGTCGGTAATTTTTCACAGTTGATTAGCAGCACTGCTAATCAAAAAGTCCAATTTTGCCAAATTTGATTAGCAAATTTAAAAATTGATTAGCAGTTTTTCAGTTTCAACATAAAACACCTAAATAACAAGATATTACTTTAGTTCATAACAAATATGATTAGATTCCATTCTTACTATTCTTAGATTTTTTTAGCAGTGCCACAAGTACTTGTGACAGTTTGTGAATGTGATGTAGACATTTAGTTAGGTCTTATGTCTGAAGCCAAATTTTAACAGTGACTTTCGAAGCCCCAATCATTTTAATTGTTATTTTTTGTTACGTTAGAAATCTTCGTTAGAAAACAATTTCGTCTGCTTTTTATCGTGTATTGCTATTTTTGTTAAATCGGGCACACTTCGATTAACTAGACACACGCGATATTTTACGGGAATTTTTACTTTGATTTATCATTTTACGTTAACATATATTTATTTTTTTATATTTTATTTACAATACAGGGGGGATACACTGGATTTATTTCTTTCAAAATGAATATGATATAATTACTTGATGTCTCGCAACGTGAGTGGTACTATTTGATTCCCTATTTCCGGTTTAATAGTCCCTATTCATAGAGTTATGTCCCTGTATTATATAGTACCGTATAATGAATTGTGTCTGGGTAGTTCGAGTAGAAAATGTCACTCGGAGAATTCAGTTTTGTTTATAAAATTTTATTCAACATTTTATACACATTGAAAATGTTGAGAAAGCCTTCTAGTCTTCAAATGTGGATTATCCTTGTGTCAATATCCAAAATGACAGGCATATTAATGATTCGCAGTTACTGCGAATCAAAAACTTTAGAGTTTAATTTTTGATTAGCAATGGACAAAATATGTATCGCAAATTGCGCTGCGATACTGGTTGTCGGCAGCCCTGCAGCAGCGCTACCGCCGTATATTACTTCGATTTTCAACTGTTGTTGGATGTTTCAAAGAATCCACCGCAGAGAAATAAAGATAATTTTACTCACAGTATATAGAATTAAAACTGAGACAAACTGTACAAAACTATAAAGAGCCATATATTTAAAACAACCAAACGATGTCACTAGTGCTGCTCTTCCTTCTCTGAAAATATATACATTAATCTATTGAGAGCACCATACCGTCACTAGAGCTGCCGTTCCTTCTTTCAAAATAAATACATTAATTTATATAAAACAAGCAAAGACTGTTACGAGAGCTGCCCTTCCTTCTCTAAAAATAAATACATTAAATGCAATGGGGTTTAACGTCCTACTGTTCTGCTACAACTGGACTAATGAAGACGGGCATACACTACACAATGTGCTATGAGGGACATTTTGCCTGGACAGCGGCACTATGGTCTATTCTTATATTGAATTCCAACAGCCAATGTATTAAATGAAATGGGGTTTAAAGCCCTACTGTTCTGCTCCGAATGGGCTAATGAAGACTAGCATACGCCATACAGTGTGCTATGAGGGAAATTTTGCCCCGACGACAGCACTACAACCTACTCTTATCTTGAATTCCAACTGTCAATGGTTCTTTTACGTGCACGCCAATTTTTTAAATGAAATATAATGGGGTTTGATGTCCTTCTATTCTGCTCCAACTGGGCTAATGAAGACGAGCATAAGTCATACAGTGAGCTTTGAGGGAAATTTTGCCCTGACGTGCACGGCAATGAATTTTAGTTGAAACAAAATGTCTCTTTGTGTAATATACAGTGACGACAAACAAACAGAGAAATAAACCATATAATGTGTTCCTGATCCGACCCTCTGTCCTGTAACACTGACAAGGGGAAACCACACTGGAAAATCCCCAGGAGACATTAAAGGAGCTAAATCGCTAATATTTGGGACCTAGAAATTGAGAAAAATGGGTCGCAAAGCATATAATAATGTAATATGAATGTATATAAACTGATTTACATTCAATCGTTTCTGTTTTTACTCTAATTTCAAATGGAATGACAACCTCTAACATCAGGTTATTCCAGTCTACATCGATAGTATTTATTGCGCATGCTCTCCGTATATGAAATATGAATATGAAATGGGGTTTAACGTCCCACTGTTCTGCTCCTAACCTGGGCTAATGAAGACGGGCATACGCCATACAGTGTGCTATGAGGGAAATTTTGCCGGGCAGCGGCGCTACGGCCTACTCTTATATAGAATTCCAACTGCCAAGGGTTCTGTAACGTGCATGCGGGACCTCGGTTTTTCATCCCATCCGAATGATTAGACAGCTGTCCTTGTAAGGCCCTCCGTCCTGCAGCATGCTCTCCGTAGTTCTGCATAAGACAAAGTGGGTAAAATCTAATATCATATTGACGTACCTCATAGCTGTAAGAACACATTCAATATTATCTATTCTAGAAGTAAAAGGAGCTGCCACCGACGCCTCTGTTTCAGATAATGATATACCAGCATGAGCAGCCTTTAATGCCTACAACAAAAAAAACTTTAATAACAATGGATTTACTTCTAGCGATATATATATTGGGATCTTACATAGTGTGTTTCATATCACTAGTAAAATATATTAGATATTTTTCATATTTCTAGTAAAATATTGATATCTTAGATACTATGTTTTACATCTCCATGGGGATATATATATATATATATATATATATATTGTGATCCTAGATACTATGTTTCATATCTCCATAGCAATATATACAGAGAATTTAGATACTATGTTCTATATCTCCATAGCAATATATACAGAGAATTTAGATACTATGTTCTATATCTCCATGGTGATATGTATTGAGATCTTAGATACTATGTTTCATATCTCTATAGTGATATATACTGAGATCTTAGATACTATGTTTCATATCTCTATGGTGATATATATTGAGATCTTAGATACTATGTTTTACATCTCCATGGTGATATATATTGAGATCTTAGATACTATGTTTTATATCTCCATGGTGATATATACTGAGATCTTAGATACTATGTTTTATATCTCCATGGTGATATATACTGAGATCTTAGATACTATGTTTCATATCTATACTGAAACCTTTAGATAATGTGTTTTATCTCTCAGTAACATATTGATACCTCAGATAAAAGATTTGATATCTCCATGGCGATACATATTGTAATCTTAGTAACTATATGTCTTAACCATCCCATAGTCAGTCAAACTTAACACCATGTGATCTGTTACAAACAATATACAGTATTCTTATGATCATTTTCTGTTTTTTTTATCAAAAGAAAATCTTACCTCACAATCATTAGCACCATCCCCACACATACCCACAATGTAACTGTAACATAAATATATTACCTTAATTAGAATCGTAAAATGATTATATTACTTTAATCAGAACCGTAACAGGGTTATATATATTTAATTAGAACTGTCACATAAATTAGAAATGTAACAAGTATATTATTTTATACATACATTATGTAAGATTTAAAAACAGAACTTACAGTTCCTGTTACAATAGTTCAACAATAAATAATGACAAATTAATCTGTTCAAAATTTCATACAAATTACTTTAATCTGAGCTAATTTATAACTTTTTGAAGATGTAGCGTAGATTTTTCATCATCATAGCAACGGAACTTGACAACCAAAATTATGTCTCGATTATTCATTTTATTGTTTATCGCAAAAGTTCAAATCCATTTAAATTTCTGCCATCCAATGTTTTAGAGAGTTGACTATGGGCTCGTCATGTGAATAAATGTCTTAATAATAGTTTATATAATATTTGAAGCCAGAGAAAAGACCTGCAATAGGCAGATTTAGCTCTTACATAATACATGTTTAATTATAACTGTAATAAATATTATATTCCATACTTTTTGAAATCAACAAAAGGTAATTTATTTTTTATGATTTAGTGTTAAATGCAGGCAAGAAATCTGTCAATAAAACCTTGTTCAAACTAAAATTAATTTTTTTAAAATCTTACTCAAGCTTTTGTAGGTTTTCGATTAACTGGTATTTCTGGTCGGGGGCCATTCTAGCAAATACAGTTCCTTTAACACATATCTGAAAAAAAAACCATTGAAATCTATAAATACAAAACAACAAGTCAACAGTAAGACACCTTCTTAATCTCGAAATAAATAGATGACATTCATTAATTACTTGCACATTTATTTTCTGAATAAAGCATCTAGCAACCAATCAAATCAAAAAGGGATCATAATGAAACCAAAGACCAAATTTCATCACTCACGATCAGTTAGAATCAGAGAATCGTGACCCAAAGCATCAACAAATAAAATTGTATATCTTTGCTTAGCCAAAGCAGAAATTGCTCATCTTGATCATTCTGTCAAGACATTCAACTAATAAAATGAAATGGGGTTTAACATCCTACTTTTTTGTACCTATTGAGCTAATGAAGACGGATTTACCTAATGAATATCAACACCAAGTTTGAAAGAGAGAGAGAGAAATGAGGTTTAAAGTCCACTAGACACAAACTAGGTCATTTCGGGTCTAACATATGGTTCAATTTTATTTATATAATTCGCTTGCGCGTAGGGGTCTTTAGCAGTGGAAGGAAACCAGAGGACTCTGAGAAAACCCACGAGGTTGGACAGACGACCCTACACCTTGTCACGTACAACCGGGGAATCAAAATAACGCCAGTTGACTCAATGACAGGCTTTATGATACAGCGTGCACACACTAACCATTGGGCCATCCAACCGCTCTCAACACCAAGTTTGAACATTCTACCTCCATTAGAAGCAGTCAAAACATGGGACTGATAGAGAGGCAAATGATCGAGTCCATTTCAGTAGCTCCCTTTATATTGATAGTGAAGCCCTATTGTAAATTTCAATAAAAGTAGATTTTTTTTTCAATAAATGTAGAAAAACCTGCAACTTACTCTTGGCATCAAATGTGGAAAATAATTAGTTATCACAGAAAATGATCTTCCTGAAATGGCAAGATGGGTTCTGCTGTCCAATTCTTCCATAGAAATAGGTTGATATGACTAGAGGATATAAACGACAAATGTTGTATTAGATATACCACGTTAATATTTCATAATTTCAACTAAACGGATGAAACTGGTGGTACTTCTATTGTATATGTACTACATGTAAATATATTAAATATATAATCATTGAGACCATTTAGCAATTGATTTATTATATAATACTAGAACACTTATTATGGATACAATTACTTGGTTTGTTATACTGCAATGTTTCTAACTAGACTTCGCAGTCATATTCTGGCAAATACCTAATGTACTGAGAGAGAGAGAAATAGGGTTTAACGTCCACTCGACACAAACTAGGTCATCTTGGAACTAACACATGGTTCAATTTTATATCAATAATTCGCTTGCGTGTAGGGAGAAAACCCACGAAATGAAATCAAATGGGGTTTAACGTCCTACTGTTCTGCTCCTAACCTGGGTTAATGAAGACGGGCATATGCCATACAGTGTGCTATGAGGGAAATTTTGCCCGGGCAGCGGCACTACGGCCTACTCTTATATCGAATTCCAACTGCCAGGGGATCTTTTACGTGCACGCCAATGTGTACATGGGACCTCGGTTTTTCATCCCATCCAAACGACTAGACAGCTGTCCTTGTCAGGCCCTCTGTCCTGCATCACTGACAAGGGGAAACCAGGCTGGAAAATCTGGATGAACTTTCTCGGCCCATGCAGGGATTGAAAACCCGACCTCCAGGCTAGCGAATCGATACCACGCCAGTTGACTCAATGACAGACCTTATGATACAGCGCGCACTCGCTAACCATTTGGCCATCCAACCGACCACATATTGTACAAATGAGACAAATCATTGGTGAGATATATGACAATAACGTTAATTAATGAGCTGTATAGACAGGTGACAAAGATTACTTTACAGTTTTTCGTATGAATATAGGTATACTTGTGGTAACTTTTTTGGGTTATTATAATAATATAAATACGTTAGGTTAACACCCACAGTGATTTGTGAAATCTTTTTGAAACGTTGCAGTATAATAAACCAAGTGATTGTATCCATACTAAGTGTTCTAGTATTATATGGGAGATATGTATCAAGATTACAGTACACAAATACAAATGGAAATAATTACTCGAATTTGTAATTCTTCAACAAAAAAACATACAATGCACATTCCCAAACCAAAAGAAAGATAGGTTGCCAGGCAACAAAACATACACCCACAGCAACTTAGCCATCCGAGCAGTCAACAACGGTTGTCGCATATTTTTTTTTTTTCAGTAATGAAACATTTAATAACACACTAAAATATGATAACGAGTAACATTCCATTAAATAATTATCTGAAATCATTAGAATTTGTTTTGGTTGTTGGTCTCATGAACTTAAGACACTGTTTATAAATTTATATTAACTTTAACCTCTAGCGCTTCCACCAGGTTTACTTAAGTAATCAAGGACTATAACTCTGACAGTAATTATCAGAAATCAATTGGCTTTCTCGTCTCATGACCTTGAACTCTTAAAACACTGTGCATAAATTTCAAGTCAATCAGATATTAATAACTTTAGACTCTTAGAGTGTCCACAATATTTTTCAAAGTGATCAAGGGCAATAACTCTGGCAGTAAATATCGGAAATTGTTGAAAATTAATAGGCTTCTTCGTCTTATAAACATATTACAATTTATTTTTATTGAGCACCTTATCCTGTGTCATATTCACAGAGAGATGGCAATTGAAATTACTTGCTTGTGACCAAGAGAGAGAGAAATGGAGTTTAACTTCCACTCGACACAAACTATGTTATTTCGGGACTAACATATGGTTCAATTTTATTTCAATAATTTGCTTGCGTGTAGGGGTCTTTAGCAGTGGGAGGAAACCGGAGAACCTGGTGAAACCCCACGAGGTTGGACAGGCGACCCCACTCTTTGTCATGTACAACCAGGGAATCGACAGACCTACAACGTGCATGCGCTAACCTTTCGGCCATCCAACCCCCCTCCTTGTGACTAAATGAACATTTGAGAATGTTGACCTGTGGAGTATTCACAAAAAATTGTGGATGGACGGAGGTGACCGCAAAATACATCTGCATTAAAAAGATAACATTGCATAGGCTGTATATTATATATCATTTATAGTGATTAAAATCATTTCTAGCTGAAAGCAAAGCGTACAAGAAAAAACAAAAAACCCAACAAGATATATAAAATAGATTAAGAACTGTTAGCTGTTATTGAATAAACAGATATGTTAAACATAGCTTGCCAGGCAAATTAACATACATCAACAACTTCGACATCCAGCTGTAATAGGAGAAAAAAAGAAAGAGAGAGAGAGAGTTTGTTTAATGTCCAATCGACACAAACTAGGTCATTTCGGGACAAACATATGGTTCAATTTTTAATAGGAGGGGGAGAGAGAGAGAGAGTTTTACATCTACTTGACACAAAGTATGTCATTTCGTGACAAACATATGGTTCAATTCTAATAGGAGGGGGAGAGAGAGAGAGAGTTTAACATCTACTTGACACAAAGTATGTCATTTCGGGACAAACATATGGTTCAATTCTAATAGGAGGGGGAGAGAGAGAGAGAGTTTAACATCTACTTGACACAAACTATGTCATTTCGGGACAAACATATGGTTCAATTCTAATAGGAGGGAGAGAGAGAGAGAGAGTTTAACAAACTATGTCATTTCAATTCTATTTCAACAATTCTCTTTAGCAGTTGGAGGAAACCGGAGAACACAGAGAAAAACCAGAAGGTTGGACAGGCGACCCTACTTCTTGTCATGTACAACCTGCCAATCAGATTTAGAGGAGGGATGTGATCTAGTAATACAGAAGAGTTTGTGAAAGAAAAGTACAAGTTTAAGCAGAAGTCTTGTATTAATACACAAACATACGATAATGATTACAAACAAAAACTTGTGCAAAATAAACAAACACATTCAATATTTAGCTACTGTAAATATTTGGTTATAAAAGCAAATAAAAATTAATTATTTGTGTCTTAATAAATATGCTAAAGAAGATAGAAAATTATATGATCAGCTCTGTTAAAAACAATGTATAAAAATGCCTGGAATGATATTTACATGTATAACAATAATATTAACACAATTTTATACATTTACTACTTCTTAGTTTATTTCATGCAATGTTTCGTAGGTCATTTTGGGAATAACATATGGTTCAATTTTATTTCAATTAATCCCTTGCGTGTAGGAGGTCTTTAGTAGTTGGAGGAAACCGGATCCATGGACAAGGGGACAGGTGACCCTGCTTCTTGTCACCTATGTGAGAGAGAGAGAGAGAGATGGGGTTTAACCTCCACTTGACAAAAACTAGGTCATTTCGGGACTAACATATGGTTCCATTTCATTTCAATTATTTGCTTGCGCGTAGGGGTCTTTAGCAGTGGGAGGAAACCGGAGGACCTGGAGAAATCTCACAAGGTCGGACAGGCAACCCTACTTCTTGTCACGTACAACCAGGGAATCGAAACCACGCCAGTTGACTCAATGACAGACCTTATGATACAGCGCACACACACTAACCATTCAACCATCCACCCCCACTTGATTAATAAAGATACCTGTAATACTAATAGTAAATACAGGAGGACTGCACCACACACAAACAATTTTACAAGACAAACCTACGGACAAGACACAATATACAGACACCACAAACAACAGACGCACATACAGATCAAGTAAAAGGATCTGGAGGCTAGCTGTAAGCGTCCACTGAGGTGTAGCGTCTCGAACATGTATTGATACAGACTTCACTCAAAATGAAAACAAACTAATAATAAGGGAATAAGGGGTACTGAAATGTTGCATGAAATAAACTAAGAAATATTAAGTTGTGTTAAAATTAAAGTATACTGTTTGGCATATCTGATAATATTATTTTATCATCTTTACAGAGTCGACCATACCTTGTACTGTGTGCACCAAAACCATTTAACTAAAAAAGTTAAAGTTGCTAATCGTCATTTGAGGAGTTTTCAATCGGATTAGAACTACAGATCTATATTCTGTTCCATTTTTTATACTTTCGATGGCCTCTACTACATGAAGACCTGACCAGTTGAGGTGGGAGGTCGCACCATGGGTCATACAAGCGGCTTTTGACCCTATGGCGTCAGACATTTGATTAACCAATCAGCGTTGATGTTTCTACGTTACCTACAGTTCCGTGCATCACATGCCAAGAACTAGCTGCAACAGACCGTTTCATTGGCTAATCCCTCACATCAACCAGAATGCAGGTTATATAACAACTCTTCTAGATCCTAGTGTAGTAAAAACAATTAAAATGAAACTTTAAACTATAAAAAACAAAAGGAAATAGACCATCGAAAGTATAACAAACCAAACAAAATATAGATCTGTATTTTAATCAAATGATGATAAAGTCGTGGAATACTGAAATATTCAAATGACAATCAACAGCTTTACCAAGACATTTTCTTTCAACAAAAATCCAATAATTGTTTAATAATTTCTCCAGAGAAAAAATTTTCCAATATAATAAAATATTGTACTGTATCATATGATATTCCTGTCTGTGAGTATTTTTTGATTAAGAAAATAAGATTTGAGTATATTTTAAGTAAGAAAAAAAAAATCATAAAAAAAATAATTTGATAAAAAAGATTACCAAAACTATAATTTAAGTATTCAAATAATATTTAAAAAAAAGATTATCAAACGTATAATTTAAATAAATAAAAATATATATTTAAAAAAAAAGATGCAAAAAAAAAAAAAAAAAGATTATCAAAACTATAATTTTAGTATTAAAAACAGATTTAAATAAAAGATTACTGAATGTATAATTTGAGTAAGAGAAAAAGATTTAAAAAAAAAAAAAAAAAGTCACAAATTTTAAAAGTAATTTTTTTTCTTCTTCAAGTTGTAAATATATTTGATAACAATGAGATTACTATCACCAAAACATTTCATGTTTTTAATAAAACCAGTAATTGTTATTCCATCAGTATCAATAATGAGGTTTCGCAAACTTAACAGTTACACTTACATTAGTGTAAGTGGAAACTGTACATTATGACGTTTCGCTAATTTCACACTTACTGTTACACTTAGTATATTTAAGAGGCGACACAAACTTGATCCACGATCTCAATAGGCCTTCATCACGGATAGATTGTTAAAGATGAGATTAGTAAAGCATGCACATGTTTTGAGATTAGTAAAGCACGCACACGTTTTGTCTCGGCCTCTTCTTATTTTATCTACATGAAGGAAAAGGTCTTCTTCGTGGATTTAGTTTGTGAAAACCACGATTCAGAGAAAAATTATGGACTGGATCATAGAAAATAAACAACGTTTAGCTAAGTGTTTTGCTCTTACAGTTATAGGGCTGCTATCTGTCGGATTCACTTTTATGACATGCACTTTACGTCAAACGTCACAAAAACTGATGACGTTTCACCGTCTAAATGTAAATGTAAGTGTAAAGGTACAGTTGCGAAACTTATCTAAAGTATAAATTTTCTTTGCTCCAAAATTTACCCAAAATATGATTTTAGTTGAAATGACCTACCATACACCATACAGCAGTGATTCTCAACCAGTGTGCCGCGAAATTTTGAACGGCACACTAAGGAAATGTGCAAAAACAGGTGATCCCAATTGAGTATCCACTGATAAGTTCATAAATGTGTTTTTCATTATTTAGTTTGAGTCATTCTAAGTGTCTATGACTAGTCTCTGTCTACGGTTGTATGCCGTCTGACTTAACCATCTTTTTATTTTGCAAAATTCAGATATTTTTCATATATATTTAGCCAGGTGTGCCGCTTTTCTTCATGTGTTCCAAGGTGTGCTGTTGGCAAGGCAAAAAAAAGGTTGAAACCACTGCCATACAGTGTGCTATGAGGGAAATTTTGGCCCAACATTGGCATTACGATCTAGTCTTATTCTTATTTCAAATTCCAATTGTCAAGGCTTCTTTTATGTGCAAGTCAATGGATTTTAGTTGAAACAAAATGTCTTTATTTGTGTAATATATACAGTGACAAGAATTCGATAAATAAACTACAACTACAAGTGATTTTATTACAGCTATAATCACCTTAACCTCCAATAATGGCCTTTGTGCATCAGATATTTCACTCTGAAAATAAGTGATGATGCATGAAATGAAATGAAAATGGGCATGATATCATAATACTTTTTTCGTTTTTTTTTTTTTTCGAGGTGATATATATTTTCTTTAAAGATACATTATGTAAGATTTAGATAAAGAGCTGTCCAATCTTGCTATAATAGTTTGAAAAAAGATAATGAAAATTAAATATATTGAAAATTTCAATGAAATTACTTTATTCTGAGCAAAGTTATGAGTGTTTAAAGTTTTGACAATACAGTCTTGATTGTCAAGTGCCATTGCTAAGATGATTATACATTTTTACCTTAAACTATTAAATGACGACCATGTTTTAATCCAATAAAAATCTCGACCCTCAGATGACCTAGAGAGTTGATTATGAGGTTGTCATGACAATAAATGTTTAAATAATAATTTATATAACATTTGAAGCCACAACGAATGTCGAATACCACAATCTTAGCTCAAGATAATGCATCTTTAAATTGGAATATATTTGCTCGTTAATTGTGATTCATCTATCTTTATTCAAAATTGCCAGCTTGAGATTTGATGAGGGTATGTTTTGATTTGGAACATCAATTCTGGCCATGTTTATCTCATTACAGAAGCCAGATTGCAAATTATAACCATAAATACAGAAATAATAAGTTTTACATTCTCCAAATATTCTTCATATACCACAATAACTAGAATATACAGGTCACAGGTCTATGGAATACAATTACTGCTTATTACTGAGAGATGTTACGACTAGGTTTCTTTAGTCTTTATTAAAGGAGCTAAATTGCTAATATTTGGGACCTAGAAATCGACACAAATGGGTCGCAACACATATCATAATGTAATAATATTATGATTGTATATAAACTGATTTACATTCAATCGTTTCCATTTTTACTCTAATTTCAAATCAGTTATGTCCGGCGAAATATGTCAGAAGTATCAATCGAATGGCAATCTCTAGCATCTGGTTATTCCACCCTACACCGATAGTATTTATTGCGCATGCTCTCCAGATGACTTGTGGAATATGTCTAGCCTTGTTCTTTGAGTCCTTTCTTACAAGTGAAATGCATTATGGTACACGATTGGTGTACCAATGGTAATATGTTTATTTTGTCTTAAATATTGATATCAGAAACCCAGCTTTACCCGGTAAGATCACAACATCAATAGTGATTTAAATTGACAAATAATTCGTGTTTTCAATGTCAAAGACTTCGGATGATATTAAGTAATAGACTTAGCTACTTTAAAGCGAGAATTTCATATTTTCTAAGAAAGTCAAAACAATTATTTCTATGTCTTTTGCTCAATACGTTATCAACACACTATTATACGACCATGGGCATTATTTCCCACCCTTAAAAATCATTGACACAGGAAATAATAACACAATTACCTCCCTTGTTTTCCTATTGCCTCCATGCATTAGCTACCTTCAAACATTGGCATTTGAAGTTGAAAATGATATTTTTGCCAATTTCTCAGCTGGCAATAGTGAATTATAGAATTAATAGTATTATTCTTTAACAAGGTAGGACGGTTTATGGATACCATCTATTTTAATGCTTTATTTTAATAAATTTTAAAAATAGAACTTAAAAATATGAAATTGTAGCTTTAAGCCTAGTCGAAACATTGATCAGCAGTAAACAATAATTGTATTGCATAGAATTGTGACCTGTATATTCCAGTTCAATTACTAAATGCCGTTGAAAGGATTTAACACCTGGGATACTCGATTGAAAGTTCTCAAATTAAATGTGAAAACGGCTCTGTTGTATTCTGCTCTGCTCCGGGGGAAGTTTTGCCCATACACTGGCCTACTCTTATATCGAATTCCAGCTGCGAAGGAATCTTTTACATGCATGCCAATGTTTACACGGGACCTTGTTTTTTTGTCCTATACAAACGACTATACATTGTCCTTTGCCAGGCCCTTCGTCACTGACAAGGGGGAACCACGCTGGAAATTCCCGACGAACTTTATCGGTTAACACATAGATCAAACAAGAGACTTTCAGGTTAGGGGGAGAGAGAGAGAGAGAAATGAGGTTTAACGTCCACTCGACACAAACTAGGTCATTGCGGGACTAACATATGATTTTTAAAAATTTTTATTTCAATAATTCGCTTGCGCGTAGGGGTCTTTAGCAGTGGGAGGAAACCGGAGGACCCGGAGAAAACCCGCGAGGTTGGACAGGCAACCCTACTCCTTGTCACGTGCAACCGGGGATTCGAAACCACGCCAGTTGACTCAATGACAGACTGTCGGGTTAGTGAACTAATGTCTTAGTCACTGAGCCACTGTGGTCCCCTTCGAGATAAAACACATGTATGGACTGATCGAATAAGCTGATAATATCTAAACCAGTCACAAACTAGGTTATTTTGGGACTAACATATCATTCAATTTTAATTCAATAAGTAGGGCATTTTATCTGTGGGAGGAAACCAAAAGACCCAGGGAAAACCCACAATCGAGTAACCCCTAGAAACAAAATGCATCAAGTTCCAACATGTGGCTCTACCCTCATCTGCTACCATAATATGCATTTATTTTATTGAAATATCTGGAACATTTCTGTTACGAATATCGGCATTGACATTTGTAAAATATTTCTACTGTGTTCTACCATTTATAGAGATTAATTTTCAGGTAATATTCAATAAAATAAACTTAATAGTTAAATTAAAGATTCATGATTTGCATTTTTTTGCTAAAATATCAAATTTCTCACGGCTAAAAATCGACATCTTACATTTGATTAAAGATACTTTATGGTAGATTCGATAAAGAGTTGGCAGTTCTCGCTATAATAGTTAAAAACTAGATAACGTAAAGGCAATTTGCTGAAAATTTCAGTTCAATTGATCCACTATGAACCGAAAACTAAGCGGATGAAATTTCTGCCTAGCCTCAGACATCATTACTAAAGTCGGTAGAATAAAAAAACATAGTCTCGATTATCCATTTAATCGTTTAATCGAGAAGGAAAGATATGCAGTAAATCGGCTCACAATCCACTTAAGATCGCAGGCTAGCGATGCCATCTAGAGTTGATTATGGTCTGGATAAGTTAATTAATGTCTAATTAATAATTTAGATAACATTTCAGGCCTAAAGAAGGACCTGCAATAGACAGACTTAGCTCTTGAATAATGTATGCTTAAACAAAATCAAAATTCCAACCCTTGATAATCTTCCAGCTAGGATTCAATCAGATTTTAAACAGGCATCACTCGAGAGAGAGAGAGAGAGAGAGAGAGAGAGAGAGAGAGAGAGAGAGGGTTTAAGTCCACCCAACACAAAGTAGGTCATTTCGGGAGTAACACAAATTTCAATTTTATTTCAATAATTGGCTTAAGCAGTGAGAGGAAAGTGGAGGACCCAGAGAAAACCCACCAGGTTGGACAGGCAATCCTATTCCTTGTCATGTACAACCAGGGAATCGAAACCATGCCAGTTGACTCAATGACAGACCTTATGATACAACGTACCCCCCCCACCCCCCGAGTAGATATTAAGAGTGGATTAAGTTGAGAGAAATTTGATATTCTCTGAAAAATACAAATCATGTACAGTTAATCTCTAATTCATAATTACCATCTATAAGAAAATATATGCATTATCATTAACAACATGAAAAACTCATCTGAAATTATGTGCATGTTAATCACTGAATTATTTGTGGGTTACATTCAGCTAGCATTTATTAATATCAATTTGCATCAAAGATATTAAAATACAGGTCCCAAATTTTTAATGGCATGAGTCCTTATTAAAGTTTAAGTAGAATATTATAGGTTTCAAAATTTTGATTGGCTGAAAGTTTTAGCTCTGATACTGTAATTTGGGTATCATTTGATTTTGTGTATTGAGCACTAACTTCTTGTGAATTGGACACTCATTATCAAAATTAATCAGTCAGTTTTAAACTGGACACAAGTACAAATTAGATGATTTTTGGTGATTTTAAACGATTTTTACAAATTTTTAAACAAAGATTTGATATTAAACGAATGTGAAAGAAATTTTTGCTAGATACACAAGATTAAATGATACCCGAATTACAGTGTTATAAGAATTAAACATTTTGATTGGCTGAAAGTTTTAGCTCTTAGCCATTAGAAAGTATATATTTTTCAAATGTTTTAGATGAAGTTTCAGTGCTAAGGAGGTTAACTGATTCAAACTCGACTACAAACATCACCCAATCCATGGAAATATTTCACCGGAAAACTTACTTCTGAATTATTGGAGTCCTGATCATCCCATGTCGTGTCCTCTCCCTGTAATTCGGCACTCTCCCATTCTACCTTCGCTCCTTCGTCTTTAGTTGGTGGAGTAGCCTTGACGATAATAACCTGATCTCGCGGACCTACCATGTTACAATTTCTGGCTACACTTATTGCCGTCTGTATCATATCACCTATAAATAGACATCGTGACATTACAATCACGAGCCATTACTTCAAAATTCAATCTGATTAAAATACCGATCTATATTTCGTTTCGTTTTTTTATACTTTCGATAGCCTACACTGCATGAAGATCTGGCAAGTTGTATTGGAAGGTCGCATCAGGGGTTGTACGTGCGGCTTTTGACCCTATGACGTCAGACATGGATTAATCCATCAGCGTTGACGTTTCTAATGGATTACCCGCAGTTCCCTGCATCGCACAGCAGTCGTCGTAACAGATGGCTTCATTGGCTAATCCCTCACGCCATCAAGAACGTGGATTACCCGCAGTTCCGTGCATCGCACAGCAGTCGTCGTAACAGATGGCTTCATTGGCTAATCCCTCACGCCATCAAGAACGTAGGTTATATAACAAGTCTTCCAGATACTAGTATAGTACATAAAAGTAAAACAAAATTTTGAACTATAAAAAACGAAACGAAATAGGATCTGTGTTTTAATCAGATTGCTCAAAATTTGTTCAGTCTGTCCTATTTTGGTTACTTCGGATTAGAAAGATTTTTTCAAAGAAAATAATTTTTTTTTTTTTAGCAAAGGAAAACAACGCTTGCCAGGCCCTCCATCCAGGTCAACTACTGTGCAAAATCCCAACATCTCATATGACATGAAAATCAGGGATGAAACCTGAGACCTATTGGTTAATAAGCCAGAGCCTTACTCACGGACCCCTTATGGCACTGTAATTTGGTTATGTGCAGGTAGCAGGATGGTTAAAGATACATTATGGGCGATTAGATAAAGAGCTGACAGTTCTCACTATAATAGTTAAAAACTAGATAATGTAAATGGAATTTGCTGAAAATTTGTCAAATTGATCCACTCTGAACCGAGATTTTAGCGATTGAAGTTTTGGTATGATAAAAAAAATACTCTTTATTATCCATTATCCATTAATCAAAAATGAAAGTGGAGCAGCAAATGATAGCCTACTCCAGTAAACATCGCAGGTTAGCATTGACATCGAGAGTTGATTATGATCTGGATACGTTAATTAATGTCTAATTAATAATTTAGATAACATTTCAGACCTAAAGAAAGACCTGCAATAGGCAGACTTAGATCTTGCATAATGTATGTTTAACTTGATTCCAGTGATCCACTGTTAACCTGATACCAAAGTTATGCAGTAAATCGGCTCATAATCCGCTAAAGATCGCAGGCTAGCATAACCATCGAGAGTTGATTATGTCCTGGATAAGTTAATTAATGTCTAATTAATAATTTAGAAAAACATACCAGGCCTAAAGAAAGACCTGCAATAGGCAGATTTAGCTCTAGCATAATGTATGTTTAAGTGACCAAATACCTGTAACCATCACAGTTCTAATCTTGGCTTTCTTCAATGTTTTCATCACTGGTGTAGTTTGTGGTTTGAGTTGATTCTGTAGAACCATTAAACCAAGGAATGTCATGTCACGTTCCACTTTATCTCTGTATAAAACAAACATCAACAACTTTTTTATCTCTCAATGAAACAAACATCAACAACTTTATCTCTCAACAAAACAAACATCAACAACTTTATCTCTCAACGAAACAAAAATCAACAACTTTATCTCTGTAGGAAACACAACAACTTTATCTCTCAACGAAACAAACATCAACAACTTTATCTCTCAACGAAACAAACATCAACAACTTTCTCTCTGTAGGAAACACATCAACAACTTTATCTCTCAACGAAACAAACATCAACAACTGGTGCACAAGTAAAACACCTCACTTCCGCATTAATTTCTAAAAAAAAGAAATTCCCAAATATGGACCAGAATACTTTTCTAATATGGCCTTATTTCAAACCAAGACATATAAATGACATCCAGTATGATAATTCTTACCTTGATATTCTTTGGACTTGATGCCAGGTAATTTTGGGTTCCAATGGCCGATAAGCAAGGGCAATAACTCTAAACCCTTGTACAGTATATTTGTGTAGCATAGTTTGAAAATTTTCAGGAACTAAAATAGAGAGAGAGAGAGTGCATTTTAACATGAGTTACGCTGTGGAAATTTACATATTAAGGGAACGCTATTCTACCTCCCAACAAAATAAGGGAATGATATCTAGCCTCCTAACAATATAAGGGAATGTTATTCCATAAGCCTGTCAAACCTTCCAAATAATGTAAGAGAATGACGTTCTGCCTCCCAAACAATGTAAGGGGACACTGTTTGCAGTCTATTCAATCTAATTAAAATATAGATCTATATTTCGTTTCCTTTTTAAAAAATTTGGTGGCCTACACTACATGTACATGCACATGTAGATCTAACAAGTTATAGTGGGAGATCATGTTCTATGACGTCAGGTACCAAGCAAGCGACATTTGAACCGATTACGTCCGTCATTCAATTAACCAATTAGCGACTGCCATGTATTTTTTATCTACTTTTGCTTTGTTTTGATTTCTATTGCCGCTAATGTCTACCCACAGTTCCGCGCAAAAAAGGTCAAACGCTCGATTCGACAGACCATTTGATTGGCTGACCCCTCATTTCAAGCAGAACACGAGTTAAATAACAACGCTTCCAGATCCTAGTGTAGTAAAGACAAGTAAAATCGAAATTTTGAACTATAAAAACGAAACGAAATTGGATCTGTGTTTTAATCAGATTGCAGTCTATTGATTTTTGTGCGATGAAGAAATTAACTTTTTTTTTCATCAAAATATCTACTTAATATGAAAGCATATCCCGTTTTACTGTACTCCTTTCTGAGTGAGAGAGTGAGAAAAAGAGAGAGAGATTGGGTTTAACTTCCACTCGACACGAACTAGGGCATTTCAGGTCTAACATATTTCAATAATTCGCTTGCATGCTGGTGTCTTTAACAGTGGGAGGAAACCGGAGAAAACCCAAGAGGTTGGACAGGTGTTTTTATAGAAGGTGTGTTATATCATACCTGAATCAGGTTTACAGAGACTAATAACTTTCTCTGGTGCACCTTTACAGTAAATCTCCATAAAATTATCCGTCAGTGAACGAGTTATAACACTCATTCGCTGCATACTCGACGAAAACGTAAACTGTCGAACTATCCCAACTTCAAATGGAGCCTGAAAAGCAAAATGAAATTACAGGGTGTACATAACTTAGAACACTTAAAATTCCAGTTTTCCAGGAATTTTCCAGATTTATTTACCAGATTCCAGGAGTCCCTGTATAAAATTCTACATCATAATGTATTTTTTTTTTACCCATGAAGAACACTGTTCGACTGAATTGAAGAAATAAAAGATCTCATCAAAATTAAATTTCAACCACAAATGTTAATTTTCCAGGAGTTTTAAGGGGTAACTGTTTTTTCCAGGATTTTCCAGTACTGGAAATCACATTTTCATTTTTCCAGGATTTTCCAGAAGTTTCAAGGAGTATGTGAACCTTGAATGAAATGGGGTTTAATGTCGTACTGTTCTACACCGACTGGGATAATGAAGACAGGCTTACACCATGCAGTGTGCTATGAGGGAAATTCTGCCTACTTCTATTTCTGCACAATTGGCCAAGGGGTAATTGTGTCCGATAATCCAGAAGAACTTTCTCGCCGAACATTGGGAGCGAACGCAAGACCTCCTTGTTAGCCAGCCAGTGTCTTACTCACTAAACCACTGTGGCTCCCTTCCTGAAAAAAGAAATATAGGAATCCTAACTCTGTTAACCTTTATCAATTACCAATGTCTTTTAGGGAACTTGAACTGGACCCAAGCATTACCCATCTTCTTGTTTTTGTTGATGTTTGGGGAGACGCTCTTCCTATGGACTCGTGGACGGACCTTATGATTTAAAATGATCACTTGATCACATACACCCTTAGTGCCAAGACAGAGAATAAAAGTAACATAAAATAAGTCCGGTTTTGTATATTCAAATAATCTTACCTCATCGGTGAGAAAATTATCTTTTCGACATGGTTTAACTATAGTTGGCATAATAGTATCGTATTTACTGCTGTCTTGTCCAGGTTCCTCTAAAACCTGTAACATAAAAAACAATAATAATAATAATAAACTCAGTCATAATAGTATCGTATTTACTGCTGTCTGGTTCAGGTTCCTCTAAAACCTGTAACATAAAAAACAATAATAATAATAATAAACTCAGTCATAATAGTATCGTATTTACTGCTGTCTGGTTCAGGTTCCTCTAAAACCTGTAACATAAATAACAATAATAATAATAATAAACTCAGTCATAATAGTATCGTATTTACTGCTGCCCTGCAATATAATAATAATCACAATTCAGTCATTATGTTAACATATTTGAAATGCAATGCCAACTAGAGATTTTATTCTGGACTACGATGTTACCAACGATTTTTCATTGAATGCACCACATGACAGACCTCATGATACGCCTGGCACTTGCTATTACTTACCTTATCAAAACAAAAGGCCTAGCAATTTCGGATGATTGACCAATGATGCATGTACGTACATTAAACGAACTTGGTTTTTAGTATCGCTGGATCTGTTTAGAACAAGGGAACGGCAGCAGGAAAGGGGTGTGGCGGTGTACAATGTTACCATGTTGTCATTGGGGAAATTGGGATATGATGACATTGACACTGGTTTTTGCATGACTATTTGATGTAACTCTTTCGAATTTCAAAACCATTTTTTCAGAAATGAGGCGACGTTTCCAGGAATGAGGGCAACCCCCCATAGAATAAAATATATAAACTTACCCAGTTTATAGAATTAAACATAATTAGATCTAGTGGATCTCCTGTTAATTCTCCATCAATTATAGTTAGAGAATGACAGGAAGCCATACACAATAATACAGGTCCTTGTGATAGATTACCTACATCACGCTCTGGATGGTAAAAACTGAAAATAACAAGTTTTTATTCTCTTTTATAGATAGAAATGTTCGAACTGGGTTAATGAACATGTGTATCAGCCATACAGTGTGCTATGTTGGAAATTTTGCCCAGCCAGCGGCGCTAACCCCTCCTCTTATATCGAATTCCAACTGTCAAGGGATCTTTTATGTGCATGCCAAAATGTACACTGAACTTCGGTTTTCTGTAACTCTCGATTGACAGAACTTAGAGGAATAAGGGAATAAATTAGCAAAGTGAATGATTCAATTCCATTCAGTATTTACCGTCTGTGGGCCATTTTAAATCTCAACTCAAAACATTCTTATTTCAAAACCCTAATCTGTAAATAATCAGTGAATATAAAAACCAACAGCGCCTAAGAAACAGTTTTCTTCAGTAGTAGCGCGCTTTATAAATGACGATATTATTATTATTACAAAGATATGATGCAGGCTATGCAAAAAGACTGATGCCAACTTTATTATCCGCGAACGTAATTGATGGGCCTGTTTGAAATACAACCCAGGAGATTATCTAGCATTGGTAACATGTGCCCACGCCATCAAAATTGTCTGAGCAGGTCATGAAACCGGTCATATTTTTATTTTTTTGTTAGTAATGTACGCAGGTGCATAAATGATGATTTTATACCTGGCATCTTGAACTGGTACTACTCCCCACATGTCTAACCCATCTTCTGTCAATGTTCCCGTCTGTAAAAAAATATCAATAATATTACCTGGTAAACAAAACTTTCTGACAATAAAAATATAAACTCTGTTGAGAGGATTTACCAACAATTTCTCCTATTTTGTATGTTCTGACTGAAACAGAACAATAATTTCAGAAATCTAATTACCAAATCCACACAGCGTGCTATGAGGGGAATTCCAACTGTCAAGGGTTCTTTTACATGTACTCCAACATGTATACAAGACTTCTGTGTTTCAAGTCCCATCGAACGACCATGCTCTAACCTTGCACTCCAACATGTATACAAGACTTCTGTGTTTCAAGTCCCATCGAACGACCATACTCTAACCTTGCACTCCAACATGTATACAAGACTTCTGTATTTTTATTTCCACCGGAGCGCTAACCTTGCCAGGCCCTCCCCATCCTGCATCAAATCACTGACAAGGGGGAGTCACACCAGAAGACCTAACAGACCTCTAACAGCGAGCCAGTGCATAACTTAGAGAGAGAGAGAGAGAGAAATGGGGTTTAACGTCCACTTGACACAAACTAGGTCATTTCGGGACTAACATATGGTTTAATTTTATTTCAATAATTCGCTGGGGTCTTTAGCTGTGGGAGGAAACCAGAGGTTGGACAGGCAACCCTACTTGTCACTATCAAGCGGGGAATCGAAACCACAAAACTCGACTTATTGATAGACCTTATGATCCAACACGCATGCGTTAATCCAATCAGTCACCCAACCTCCCGGCACTGGCTATTACTGACCTTATCAAAACAAAAGGCGTTGATTCTTCCACAGAAATTGATTCTAGGTGGACTGATACAGAATATTCCTTTTTTCTTTAAACGACTCTGAGCATATACAGTACCAACTGTCATGGCCGCTGGTAGAGCAGGTGGCACAACAATAGTTATTATATCCAAAACACGTAAAATAATTTCTGTTGTACTGACCTGAAATATTGTAAAATCAAAATACATAAGCCTACGATTTTTTGTTTCAAACGCCCCAACTCCTATTCAAAATACATAAGCTAACGATTTTACTATCAAACGCCCTAACTTCTAGTCAAAATACATAAGGCTACACAAAATAAATGTCTTGTTTCTCTGGCAACTGACAGCTGAAACTGTAGGGGGGGAGAGCGGTTTATTTTTTTTTTTACCTCATTTCTGGCTAGAGGATGGTGCAAAATAAAATTTGGCTATTGTTGAAAATTGTTGGGGCGGGAGGGCGGCCTTGTATTTTTTTTTTTTTTTTAATGAGAAAGTCATTACTTGTCTACGGTTTTGCTTTCAGTTATATATTATACATACTTAGAACATAAACCCAAAAATCAAGTCTACTCAAACACTGAACACTGACTGAAAGGAAAATAATTTTCCATATTTAATTCACGTAATGTACTAGCTTACTAATGGTAATGGTGACAACCATAATTGAAATTGGTTTAAAATAAAATTCTGTACGACTATTAATAGCCGTCCATAATAATGACAATATTTTAAAGAGTAAGCCTCTGTCAGCATGTGTATCAAAAATAATCATGACGATAAACGACACTTCGATCTAAATCTAGTATCGCTGGTTTATAATGATTGACCTAATTCCAACCAATGCATGTCACGTGTCATCGGGATTCGGGAAATGACTGTTTCTCAGGTTATTCGGTGTGTTTCTCAGGATATTCGGTGTTCTATCTGGGGTTTATATCGAATGACTATTTAAATTTAACTAACAACTCGTCAGTAAAACCATCAAATGTGTAATCCAATTATTATTTTCCTGATTATCAAAACTACCGTTAAATGTGCTAATGACCCAGATTCTGACTAAGGTATGGTGACTATCATCGTATCGTATTCGTAGCCACAAGTTATAATAATTAACCTGTTCTACGATTCATTGTTTTAGAAGTAGGATTTTTTCAAACATGGACCGACTGAAGCCGGCAATAATGAGCCAATTAAGATCGAATGATTGAAATACATTGCATTGTTGTCAATGACTTTCGGTGTTTAACACGAATCAAATTCTAGTTCACAAGGGGAGGTAATTAAAATCATGTGATACAAAAATGGAGGTTCTTTCGAAATCAATAAAAAAGACCCGTAAATGAGCGTTTACATCTGAATCAGTTTAATACATTTGAATGGATATTCACGTATGGGGCATGTAGATACATGCGGCATATATTTTTTATGACTTGCTTATCGATGTTCGGGCGGGCGTTACATATTTTTTATTTTTCATCAAGACTAATAAATAGGCCGCACGCGCAACCAATCTTGCGTGCGGGCGGTGCCCGAGAAACAACTTATTTTATTTGTGTTGCCTAAGCGTACGATTTTTCTTTCAAACTGATTGCAAACTTGATTGTTGTATGGTATATGGAAATCTATTATACCATTAAAACCAAATTCAAAATGATCTACATGACCGACCTACATGGCGGTAGCGATCTAATGACTCCTCACCCCTAACACGATCTAATCTATTTATGTATTCTATCCCATGTACAGACACGATTAGTCGATTCCTGTGTATTTTCAGCCACAGACTTAAAACCCACTCGACATAAACTACTTCATATAGTTCAATTATATTTCAATGGAAGTCTTTAGCAGCTAAACGACCCAGAAGAAAATCCTGAGATTGGGCAGGTGATCCTACTCCTTGTCAAGTACCACAGACACCACCAGGTGTATTTTATACCCAAGTCTGTTACAACTAAAACAGATATTTCTAGGATTGATATTAAGACAACTTACTCCTTCACGTATATAGTTCACGAGAGAATAAACCATTCCACAAGACGCCACAACCAATAAAAATAAAATAAATCTCATAGCATCTTGATAGAATCTAAATCCTAGAGGTTTCGGAAACAAAATGGCACGAACTAATTCTCCCTTGGCTGTGTTATAACCTGAAATTAGATACAATAAGATTAAACTTTGGTATTATATCCCAAATCGTCTACAACCCCGGGGTGAGAGAGAAATGGGGTTTAATGTCCACTTGACACAAACTAGGTCATTTCGGGACTAACTTATGGTTTTAATTTTATTTCAATAATTCGCTTGCGCGTAGGGGTCTTTAGCAGTGGGAGGAAACCGGAGGACCCGGAGAAAACCCACGAGGTTGGACAGGTGACCCTACTCCTTGTCACGTACAACCGGTGATTCGAAACCACGCCAGTCGACTCAATGACAGACTTTATGATACAGCGCGCGCACGCTAACCATTCAGCCATCCAACCCCCCACTTTGACAGGAAAACATCAATAATAAGGACATATAAAAAAAGAGAAAATTCTGGTTTTTAGATACAGATAGCAATGAAAAGATGGAAATATGTCCAAACAAACGTTATATCTTGACAGCAGCTTATACGAAAGGAAAACACTGATATTGATCAAATTTGATAAGGCAAAAATGAGTTCAGAGAAAACCCACACAGTTTGACAGGCGACTCTACTCCTTGTGGACAACAGCATTCCCACCTATATTTTATTGATTCCAATTGTCAGGGTTTTTTTCAGTGCACACTAATGTGTACACGGGACCTCAATTTGTCGTTCCATTCACCCCTAACAAGGATAAACCAGATTGGAAAATCAGAAGAAACTTTCTCGCAATCGAAATCGGACCCACCATGTTAGTGAACCACATACTCATTGAATCATTGTGGCTACCATGAAGACGATAGGAAATGAAATGAAATGGGGTTTAACGTCCTACTGTTCTGCCACGAACTGGGCTAATGAAGACAGGCATACGCCATACAGTGTGCTATGAGGGATATTTTGCCTGGACAGCGGCACTACGGCCTACTCTTATATCAAATTCCAACTGTCAAGGGATCTTTTACGTACACGCCAATGTGTACACGGGACCTTGGTTTTTCCGTCCCAACCGAACGACTAGACGGCTGTCCTTGTCAGGCCCTCCGTTCTGCATCACTGACATGGGGAACCCACGCCGGGAAATCTGGATGAACTTTCTCGGCCAATGCAGGGATCAAACACCCGACCTCCAAGCTAGCGAGCCAGCGTCTTACCCACTTAGCCACTGTGACCCCTGAATAAATCTCGTACAAGTACCTGTTCTAATAACAATAGCTTTAACTTTAGCATGACCATAATATCTGGTCTGTACAACATGAGTACCAGCAAACAGTGTATGACGTTTATGATTCTCTGGTAAATAAATCTCTTCATCATTCTGTTGACTTAACGTTGTTTTAGTCACCGGTACACTTTCACCTATATAAACATAGAATTTCAGAAATTAATAACGTAATATTCTGTAAAATTTAACTGTATTTATTGTAATCTTAATAATCAAGTGACTGAATACACTGTAACCCAGGTATCATTTAATCTTGTGTATCTAGCACTAATTTCTTTCACATTCGTTTAATATCAAATCTTCGTTTAAAAATTTGTAAAAACTGTTTAAAATCACCATAAATCGTTTAATTTGTACTTCTGTCCAGTTTAAAGATGACCATTCAATTTTGATAATGAGTGTCCAATTTACAAGTGTTTAATTTCTCAATCATTGTTAAAAAATAAACAACCCAATTGATTAATGATGTATAATGATTAATTTTTGAACAGTGATCAGGAAATTAAATACTTGTAAATTGGACACTCGTCACTCATTATCAAAATTAATCAGTCAGCTTTAAACTGGACACATGTACAAATTAGATGATTTTTGGTGATTTTTAATAATTTTTACGAATTTTTAAACAAAGATTTGATATTAAACGAATGTGAAAGAAATTAGTGCTAGATACACAAGATTAAACGATACCTGGGTTACAGTGATATGCAGTGGACTCTGTCAATTTCGACATCGTATGGGATCGATACAATATGCCGGATTAGACAGCATGTCGGAATACTCAATTGCCGCAATACTGGAAGTATTACTGTACCTTCGAACACTGGAAGTATTATTATAATGCACCCTTGAATACCCAGAACTTAAAAATATGATAATGCTTTCTGTACATTCTATACGATCACACATTATGAACATAATATTATTATTATTATTATTATTATTGTTCGATTTATATAGCGCTTCATTACACGTGAAGTGTTTCTAAGCGCATATCACAAACATATACTTCAAACACACAGAAACAATCAAAATCAGGAGAACATAATTAAACACAGCTGCCTGTTAGGCGCTATTATTCAAAGGTTTATATCAACAAATCAACCGGCTAATCTCTATATTGAACTCAGTCGAGGTATTACCTGATGAACACCTACACCAAGTAGAGTTCAAAAATAAAAACGAAGTTTAAAAGAATCAACTTCATTAACAAAAATTAAACAATCAAAAACTAAACAGATAAATCAAATTCAAACGAAACAAATAAAACAAAGAAAATGAAAAGCGCAGTTCATTACCATTCTACATTAACAAAATAAAGGAAATCAACTTGTGAAAATTTTTTCAAAAAAATAAGAGCAAAATAACACTAATGTTAATACTTTTTTAACGACCCTACTGAATGAATGTTGGGCTTAACAAAATGATCATGAAATGGCCCAATATAGTAATGATGAATAACATTATAGTATACATGGCAATACAATGATGAATAACATTATACATGGCAATACACAATAACAATAATAATTATTTATTAATGAAATAGCCCCTTTTGGCTATTTAAATAGGTGTTATTATCGAAATTTCTTCTTTGGTTAAAGAATAACAATTGTGATAACAATCTATGGGCAGAACGATTTACCCAATACTAATTAAATACTACCTCATTATTATAATGATATTGATTCTTCATCTCGACGATTCATATATAACATCGCTGTATTTGACTTTAAAAACTCAAATCAAATACCAAGTGCTCTCTTACAAGTGATTATAAAATTATCAAGGTAATGAACAAAGACACATCTTATGCTCACAGATAATTGATTGGTGATTGCTTGTTGGTTAACACCCACTGATTGAAGGCCGGATTATCCAATGTTAATTGAATGCAATCGTGTAACAGGACTGTTGATTGATGTCATAATTCGGAATATTCAAACCCTTTTTGGTTGAAGTAATAACGAAATAAATGGGACATGAAAGTGATGACAGATTTCACAGAATGTTGTAGTATTCAGATTTCGTAAGTGACAAGTCCACTGAAGTGAAAAAAAAAAAACCCCATAATACTAATGGAAAACAGCTATACTGTACTAATAAAACGTTTTGGCGACGCTTCCAAGAGTATTCTCTCAACGTTAACAAGCGTGTTCGTTCATTCATGGAATTTTCGTCCACTTCCACCATGGGTGATATCGTAGAGAAGTTATCAAGCTAATACATCAATACATATATAGACAAATTGAAACAACATAACCGAAAACATACCTGACAATAACAAGATCAAAGGCCTGTGACACTAACCTGTTAACATACTCTCATTAACTATACATGTTCCTGCCACTAACACAGCATCACAAGTCATAATACAACCATGGGTTGGTATAACAATCATATCACCAGGTACTAGCTTAGCTGTAGCTATCTCTTCATATACTATAATAATCAAAACAATATCTTCATATACCGTATAATAAAAACAAGCTCTTCGAATACTAATACCATTACTGTATAATACGAACAGTATCTTTGAATACTAATAGTATTACTATACTAATGTCCAAAAGAAAGTATACACACTAAAAATATGTGTAAATTTTGTTTGAATCAACAAAATGTGTTAAAACTACACTGAACATCTCTCATGCGTCCAAACTCAATATTTCTAAGCAATTAAATAGCAAAACAAATTGACATCGTACCCACGTACCGCATATAATGGAAAAACGACTTTGTTTGAAGCAGGACGAATTGCACAGTGCATACTTTCTTTTGGACATTAGTATATATATAATACGAACAGTATCTTTATGTACTATATAATTAGCATAAAGCTGTCTGAATGTGACATTTCGGACCGGTACCAGAATATTTCAGTGTTTAATGCAGATTATAGGCTTGCCATGTGAATAAATGTCTAAAAAATAGATTATATAACATTTGAAGCAACAATAAAGACCTGCCCTGGACTGATTTACTGCTTGCAAAATACATCTTTAGAGTCTTTTGTTTCAATGGCATTTAGTAATTGAACTGGACTATACAGGTCACAATTCTAAGGAATACAATTACTGCTTATTACTGAGCAACGTTTAATAATGACTAGAGAAGCCTAGTTGAAACATAGCTCAGTAATAAGCAGTAATTGTATTCCATAGAATTGTGACCTGTCTGTATATCTCTGTTTGTACCAACTGGTACTATTGTTGAACAAGGATTGTTGACTTATCTTCCCCTTTTCCTTTACTTACCATCATTTCCTCTACATACAGTTATATTAGATTTAACAGTTGAAACCATATTTCGTAATGTCACTGTTTGCTAAAAATACAATAAATATAGGTTTACATAATCAGGGTATCTTGTGGGTTTTTTTTTAAATAAAGGTTTTATAGTAAAGGTTTCCATAATGAGGATCGATTATGTTTTTTTGATAGTAAAGGTTTCCATAATGAAGGTTTATTATGTTTTTTCATTTATAGTGAAGATTTTTTATGTTTTTTTTTTATAGTAAAGGTTTCCATAATGAAGGTGTATTATGTTGTTTTTTTTTATAGTAAAGGTTTCCATAATGAAGGTGTATTATGATGTTTTTTATAGTAAAGGTTTCCATAATGAAGGTGTATTATGTTGGGTTTTTTTTATAGTAAAGGTTTCCATGATGGAGGTTTATTATGTATTTATAGTAAAGGTTTCCATAATGAAGGTGTATTATGTTGTTGTTTTTTTTACGTTAAAGGTTTCCATAATGAAGGTTTAGTATGTTTTTTTAGTAAAGGTTTCCATAATGAAAAGGTATCCAACCCGCAGCATGAAATCAAATGGGAAAAGACGGATATTCTAGCCGGGAACTTGACAGTGTGAAAAAACAGAATTTTTATAGTAAAGGTTGCTATAATATACTCTTCAAAAAAAGTAGGGGATATTGAAATGCAAATACCTATGCAGGTTGCGATATGATAAATAGTCATGGACATTTGACATGCTTTGAGAGTATGTTCACAGATGAAGAACTTATCGCCTCAATAGAAACACTGAGCTGCACGTGCGACACGTAATAGCGTCATACACATGCAAGGGGTTCATTGTCAAATTTGACACTTCAAGGAAGGGTTGATGAAAACTGCCGCGTGTTGGTTTATCTATCCATGTTTGCTTTCATATCGGTTCTTGTATAATATTTACTGTTTAGCGTATCTTTGCTTTAGTTTGTTACGTTTAATTTGATCGTGAGACGTGCTCGTCGACGTCAACGTTAACCGACAACACTGCAAGAGGAGTGGGTCAGATTGTCCCAAATCGTGATTGGACGGTTGATTAGGAGCATGCTACGACGAGTTGCTGAATGTCTGAGGATTGGTGGAGCAATTACTCATTATTAAGACAAAAATCAAAAACATCCATTTTCACTTTTGACGGTGTATCTCTTTGCGAGTTAAATGGGGCCGTCAGATAAGTCGCCTATATGAACTGTTTATGTTCATGTCTAGGCAATTGGCCTGTTATTAACATACACTGGTTACCTCTAATAAAAGCAGCAGTGCATTTCCGCAGTTTTGTATTGTTTCTGAATATCCCCTACTTTTTTTGACGAGTATATATAGATGATTGTAAAACAGTATGTTGCCTACCTTTCTTGTTGCATAGAGACTGATACATATAGAAACTACTGATATAGCAAATATACAGCTAGCATAATAATAATATTCATCAAAACCCCACAGTACAATACTGGCTATTTGAAATATATAGAAGGGATTCAACACCTGAAAATAAATAAACATACTCAAACAAATTTTTTTTTTTTGAAAAGGGGTTTAACGTCATATTTTACTGCTTTTGACCCTGCTATTGAGGACGGGGGCTTACACAATACAGCGTGTACGGTATTAAGAGATATTTTGCCAGGATAGCTACGCTTAATTCGAATTGCAATTGTCAATGGTTCTTTTACGTGCACGCCAATGTTTACACGAGACCTCAGTCTGAAACAACATAATCAATAACTGTAAGATTGATGTAAGACATTTCTTTATGACTTGCCAATTTAACCACAGCAGTGCTATTTTATTTGACGGTTTCATATTCTTGATTGGTAAGTGTTTATTTGTCAAGAATACATTGTTATGCTATGCTGCAGATCGTGTCACAAAATCTTAATTTTTATTGCGATGCGAAGAAAAAAAAGGATGCTATTAACAGTTCCTTTAGCTTCCCATGACAGACCACATAAAGACCTGGTTTTAGATGATAAAAAGTGACGTAAACAAACTTTTAATAAATGGAAAAGAATATTGGTATTATATCCCAAATCGTCTACAACCCCCGGGGTGAGAGAGATATGGGGTCTAACGTCCACTTGACACAAACTAGGTCATTTCGGGATTAACATGGTTTAATTTCATTTCAATAATTTGCTTGCACATAGAGGACCCAGAGAAAACCAAAGAGGTTGGACAGGCGACCCTACTCATTGTCATGTACAACCGGGAAATCAAAACCACACCAGTTGACTCAATGACAGACCTTATGATATCACACGCACACATTAACCATTTGGCCATTCAACCCCTGGAACTTACTTCCTCAATAAATAATCTCCAGTATGACTTGACTTCTATATCAATAGCATTAGGTCCATGAATACCAATTCTGTAAACATAACAATATCTAGATAACATATAAATTAACACCTGGACATATCGATTTTAGCGGTTTCTGACAAAATATCAGACCGGTATAGAAGCGATGCACAATATTTTTAACTTGTTACCAGACATGTATTATAACAAAATGCGAGCGAGAGAGAGAGAGAGATTTCAGTGGACACAAAGTAGTTCATTTCAGGATTAACATATGGTTCAATAAATCGCTTGCACACAGAGGTCTTTAGCAGAAGGAGGGAACTGGAGGATCCAGAGATATTTTTGAAGGACTGTTCGAGAACAAAAATATTTATTTTGTATTGCCTAACATTAATTTATTCTGATGTATGCTTCTAGTCAACAGCATTCACAGTAATAAATGGACACATAAATATAGAAAGCAAAATATTTCCAATAGATAAATGTTTGACGCATATGTATAGAAAGTAAAATATTTCCAATAGATAAATGTTTAACGAGATGTACTGTATAGTAAGTTGTAAGAATTGAACATTAATTTATCCTGATCTATGCTTCTAGTCAACAACAGCTTTCATGGTAATAAAGAGAGAAATGGGGTTAAATGTCCATAGACACAAATTCAAACTAGGTCATTTCGGGACTAACATATGGTAGGGTGGCCCATGTACTCACAGAAATACAGTCCACCGCTGATAGTTTGAGACTACCACTGAAGCGTGCACATTCGCCGTGCCGAGACCAACTTTCTGACAGTATGATACTATAAATAGCCATGGCATGTGCAATTCTCTACAAATCTATCAACTATTACAGCCGTAAAAAATTTATTGTTGACGATTTTGAATAGCAGTAAAATTAAGCTTCTTGGTTATTACAGCAGATTTAGAAATTACGTTCGTTTCATTTTTTAAATCGCTTTATCATTAACTGTACCGTTAAGAGCGGCATCTTTTGGTTTAGTACAAATAATATCTCTGAAACACTCAGGTTAGGCAAGAACATGATACTAGCAGTAGTTTCATTTTACTTTTACAAGCTTCTTAAAACGATTGTTGAGCTACCTCACATGCTTATTTCTAAATTCAATTTCTTGTTCTAGCTTTCTGTTATGTTTCGTAAAAAAGTAGTCTTGATTATCCCGACCTGTCAATCAGACGTAGAATGGTCGATAGACTGGTTAAGCGAGACTAATTTCAAAACAAGGGCACGTAACCTATCTTTTACTCAAAAGTGTCTGGATGTTATGGACGACTCTTGGAACCAGTTTTCAGTCTATTATTTATACGTGATTAATGGCCATAGCTTATTAAGTACAACATGATCGTTTATTTAGTGACTATAATTGTGTGGAACTGATTTGAGGCTTGGCATATATATAAGTATTGTGGCGTAATTGTCGAGATATATGGAGATATTTATTTATGGTGGGTCACCCTACATATGGCTCTATTATATTTTAATAATTTGCTTGCACGTAGGGGTCTTTAGCAGTGAGAGGAAACCGAAGGACCCGCAGAAAACCCATGAGGTTGGACAGACGACCCTACTCCTTGTCACGTACAACCGAGGTGTATAGAAAGGTAAATTTTAACTACACATTATTTTTATAAAATAAAAGTCTTGTTTTATTTAGAACAGTATAATACAGCATGGGACATCGGTCTCCATTTCCTGATGAAGACCAAAGGGTTTAAATTGTTTGAAAACTATCACGTATATTGAGTTAGTTAATGGGCCTAAGAGGATTTTATAAGGACTTTTAATACAAAATATAATTGAGATTGACCCTTTACGTGCGCTAATAAATGAGAATGCGGTGAGGTTTAACCGTGTATATTTCTGGAAATAAATGAGACGTTTAAATTTTTTTATATTTTTTCAAATAAAAACAGGTCACACGGTCCGTTGCAAGAGATGTGGGAGTGTCTGATTAAACAGAATGTTAATAAAACATGTGTAGGGCCTTATCTAAACAGATTGTTTATTATACATGTGTAGGGCCTTATCTAAATGTAAATATAAACTACCTTTCAGCTTGTTCCTGTTCACTGAGTCCATGATATTTATCATGGATTGCTGAACATTTAACTCCACATGACAAGTCTCTATAAATAGAATTATCACATATTGATCATGTATATATTAATTATTTTAATATTTCACCAGCAAATGGAGTTGATAATTGAGATCTAATATTGGTTGAAGAATTAAAATTTCGAATAAAAATAATTTATAATAATAATAATCAGACTAATACAAAAGTTTCCATTGCGTTTCTCATGTGATCTCTATTGATTTTTCGTCCCACCCAAATGACTATACACTGTCCTTTGCCAGCCCCTTCGTCCTACACCCATGACAAGGATAAACCAGACAGGAGGAACTTTCTCGAGATCGAAAACGAGGCCCATCAAAGTTAATGAACCACAAACCCATTGAATCTTTGTGGCTACAACCGAGATGATATGAAATGAACTGGGGTTTAACGTCCTACTGTTCTGCTCCGACTGGGCTAATGAAGACGGGCATACGCCATACAGTTTGCCCAGCAGCAGCACTATGACCTACTCTTATATTGAATTCCAACTGCCAAGGGATATTTCACGTGCATGCCAAAGTATGCACGGAACCTCGTTTTTTTCCGTCCCATCCGAATGACTAGTCAACTGTCCTTGTCAGGCCCTCCGTCCTGCATCACTGACAAGGGGGAACCACGCCGGAAAATCTGGAACTTTGACCACATGATCTAAAGTGTACATGTACATGTTAAACCAAGCGACCACCAAACAGTAAATAATGAGAATAATATTATACTTACTCCAATATTTTATAAATATGTTGATTTTTATCCCATATATAGCGAACATGATGAAAGTCAAAGTAACGAACCGTTGTGTCATTATAGGAGACAAGATCAGTATTCTCTGATGGTGCAGATATCCCATCGTCACATCTGAAACAGTAAATCAAAGTAAAAACATTATCTATATGTATACCGTACTAATATTTGTGACTGTCGTTCAGGGCTGGCGATTACACTAGGGCTGTCCCGAGGCCGACATTTGGTGTATAGAGGTAGCTCAGACTGGGGAGTAACATAGGCCTGGAGGCGATGGACTACCACTCTCGGTTCATGGTTATACCCATGCTACGATGGGTCAACCGCTAGCAACTTATATTTTATCTATTTTAATAACACTTACTATATAAGTTATATTACATATATATTTAATAACAACATCAGTTATATTTACATTCATTTTTTAAAACTTACATGTATTGTAATGTCTAATCAGTTTTATTATCAAAATATATGAGCAGTCCAAATTGGGTGGAGGTTGCTACCGCCTGGTTAGTCCAGTCTAAACAGAGGTAGAAATGGTCTGACATTTCACTTGTGCACTGACTTATAGATATAGATTCCATGTCCTTGTTGACTAATTAGGGGATATCAAGATCTGATATTTTCATGGTAAGATAACATCATGAATATTGATTGGATAGGACTAAGTAATGTCAAAGGCTCTGAATAATATCAAGTTAGAGCTTTACGCCCTAAAGTCAAATAATTCCACCACCCCCACCCCCAAGAACAACATCAATATAGATTGGATGTGAAAGACACTGGATAATACGCCCTTAAGTCAAATAATATCCACACCCCATCCCACCAAGAAAACCAATAGATAACACAGAAGCATTGACAAATCACGAATAACATCACATCCATTCAATTCATCCTTTTGCTTTCAAACATCAATTTCAAAATTCTATACATGAAATTCATTCATCAAAAGTTTCTATATTGGGTTTATTATATCCATATATTTTTATTGACTATAAATTACCTGTGTTAAAATACATGATTTATATATGATGTTTTATATATGTTTCGTTAAACATTGAATAATACAGGGTGTGTTAGACGGCAGACAGCTGTCTGACTTGACCGACAGCTGTACATGAGTTAATATTTTATATAGTTGACATGACAAATAAAATTGACTTTAACAATCTACTTTCTGCACAAACGGGTTCAACGAAGATGAGTTTTTTATAAGAGAGAGAGAGAGAGAGAGATGGGGTTTAACGTCCACTTGACACAAACTAGGTCATTTTGGGACTGAACATTTTGTTGAAATTTATTTCAATAATTTGATTGTGCGTAAGGGGTCTTTACACTGTAACCCAGGTATCATTTAATCTTGTGTATGTAGCACTAATTTCTTTCACATATGTTTAATATCAAACGAGTTTATAAGAGAGAAAAGAGATGGGGTTTAAGGTCCGATGACACAAACTAGGTCATTTCGGGACTAACATATGGTTCAATTTTATTTCAATAATTTAATTGCACGTAGGGGTCTTTAGCAGTGGGTGAAAATCGGCGGACCTGGATAAAACCCATGAGGTTGAAAAGGCGACGCTACTCCTTGTCACATACAACCGGGGAATCGAAACCATGCCAGTGGACTCAATGACAGACCTTGTGATACAGTATGCTTGTGCTAACCGTTCGGGATTCAATTTTGACGGGTTTCTGCCATGCAATGTTATTTATTATATACCGGAAAATTTATATGGATAGCTTTTCTGCTTACTCTTTTGAGAATCCCAACTGTCAAGGGTTCGATTTTGTGCACACTAAAGTGTACACAAGACCTCAGTTTTCGGTCTGATGCAATGAATGTTCCTTAAGCCCAGCTTACAACCTGCCGTAAGTGTGATTTCTACGGTGCCGAAAACATGCAAGTGATACGTAAGTCTCAAGCATAAGTTTACTAAAATTTCCTCCGTAGTCTGTGCTAGACTGTCTGTAAGCGCCTGTACGGTGAGGTGTGAGCTAGGCCTTATATAAGGCCCTAAGCCTTCTGTTGGATAACTGAGAGGAACATTTCTTGGCACAGAGAGAGAGAGAGAGAGAAATGGGGTTTAACGTCCACTCGACACAGGGGTCTTTAGCAGTGGGAGAGAGAGAGAAATGGGGTTTAACGCCCACTCGACACAAACTAGGTCATTTCGGGACTAACACATGGTTAAATTTTATTTCAATAATTTGATTGTGCGCAGGGGTCTTTAGCAGTGGGAGGAAACCGGAGAACCTGGAGTAAACCCACGAGATTGGACCCTTTTCCTTGACAGTTGTTTATTGGCAGACACTGGTATTATACCCAGGACTTCGTGGGCCGATACCTTACTCATGGATTCAGAGTAAACAGAGGCCTATCAAAAGATTTGAACCCAAAACTTGACTGATAAATCTATTGGTATACATGTGTTAATATTAGTAATTACTGAACCGAGTTGAGTAGCCTATACATGTATATGTAATTACTATAGTTTCCAGAAGTTGTATTTAAATATAAATGACCATACTATACTATTCAAAAAAAGTAGGGGATATTTGATTTTTAAGTGTTATTAAAGTCACCTAATAAAACTGACGAAGAAACAAATGACAAAATGAAATGAAGTTCACATTCATCGATTTATTCCAAATGATCGTTAGACTAAGTAAGGCACAGACTGACCATTATAAGGGTAAAATGATACCCGGGGTCAAACAGCAAAGTTACCACAGCATCACAACCATGTCAGTAACGGGTAAATCCTCCTCTGTTTGCCAAACAAGCATTGATCCGAGGTGGCATACTCCTAATGAGACGTCTAAGGTCATTTTGGTCCAGATTGTCCCATTCCTGTTGCAACGCAGCAGCAAGTTCTTGGAAATTGGCAGGACGTTGTTGACGTTGACGTAACCTCTGTCCAAGCATGTCCCAGACATGCTCGATGGGGGAGAGGTCGGGACTCAGAGCTGGCCAAGGTAATGTGGTGATGTTCTGTTGTTGGAGGTAACCTGTAACGATCCTGGCCCTGTGACATCTTGTGTTGTCATCCTGGAAGATGAAACGGCGGCCATGACGTCGTGCGAACGGCACAACATGGACTGCCAAGATGTTGTCCCGGTAGTACTGGCCTGTAACACGCCCTGCAACAACATGTAAAGCCGTTCTTCCAGCAACAGTGATGCCTCCCCACACCATAACAGAACCACCCCCAAATCGATCATGTCTGATGACGTTAACATCTTGGAAGCGCTCGTTTCGACAACGCCACACCCTCCTACGTCTGTCCAATAAATCAACAGTGAACCTTGACTCATCTGAAAACATCACATTGCTCCAGCGTCGATTATCCCAGTGTTGACAATCCCTACACCAACGACGTCTTGCCTGAATGGGATGATCTCTCAAACAAGGAATCACGCGAGGACGTCGGGCGCGAAGGTGACCCCTATGCAGTCAATTCCGAATCGTCTGGCCACTCACTCTCACACCAGTGTCTGTTTGAAGACGAGCGCTGATCTGATTTGCTGTGATGACACGATTTCTCAAGGCCAAGGTACGGATAAATCGATCCTGGGCTTGAGTTGTCGCCCTTGGTCGACCTGAGCGTGGTCTGTCGTGTACAGATTGTGTATCACGGTATCTGGACCATAGCCTGCTTATGACAGACTGAGAAACATTCATCGTCCGCGCCACAACCGCTTGTGTTGTGCCGATCTGTAGCATGCCAAGGGCACGTAACCTTTCATTTTGGGTAAGCCGACGCATATCAAAATTTGTTTTCTGGTCACTAAAACAATTAAACTGATGTTTCCACCCTGGAATTTAATGCCACAATGACTGTAACATTCAAAGTCAGAGTCGTGCAAATCTTGGGTTGGACCCCCATGATGATCCCAAGCATCACCTGCATTCCATGCGGTAGCTATTGGTGCGTTTGGGCGTCACATGTAACTGGAAATGTTTCTTCTGTTAGGTTCTATAGTGACTTTTTTCGTAGTCATTTGCATATTTTAGTATTATGCCCCCAAAATCAAATATCCCCTACTTTTTTTGAATAGTATATAATTACTAACATGTGACAATAATATATGGCATGCGGGCAGAAAAATCGAGTACACTATTTAAAGGGAGATTGGATGAAGAGCTCACAGTTCTCATTACAATAGTTAAAAACTAGATAATGTAAAGGGAATATGCTGAAAATTTCAGTCAAATTGCTCCACTATGAACCGAGACATTAGCCATTGAATTCTAGGCCTAGCCTCGATCATCATTACTAAAGTCGGTATGATAAAAAACAAAGTCTTGATTATCCATTTTTGGATTTAATCATCAATGAGCGTTGAGCAGCAGATTGGATTCAAATCCAGTAAATATTGCAGGCTAGCGATGACATTGAAAGTTGATTATGGTCTGGATAAGTTAATTAATGTCTAGTTAATAATTTAGATAACATTTCAGGCCAAAAGAAAGACCAAGCTCTTGCATAATGAATGTTTAACTTAAAGTGGAATAATTAAAGAAATATATTTTATACCTATATAAATAACGTTTCAAATGTTGTACAATTTTGACAAATTCACTCAAAATTGTAGGTCCATCGCTCAAATAGAACTGTCTACATGTATGAGCGAGAATGAGACATGTTGACAATTTGTTTACGTAAACTGAGGTGATTGTCATGCGACTTCTCAGTCTGGCAAAGCATAATTTGACCTTTTTTTTTTTCTTTCTTCTTTAAAACACTATTTGCGATTTGAGCGCTGGACCTACAATTTTGATTGAATTTATCAAACTTCCATATTGTACGACATCTAAAATGTGAATGATGTAGGTACAATACATGTACTTTTGATTGAATCCACTTTAAATAGAGCACTTGTATTTCCTGGGCTACGTTATATATATGCGTACATCCGATATACTTTGTAACCATAGACAATGGTAACTATAGCATAGCCAATTAAAACCACAGTGTTACTATGTAAATATGTATAAATATACTATACTGTCCATCTATATACAATAACATTATTTATGAATAGTCCCAAGACGGACGAAAAGTACTTTAAAATGTTAAAATGTTATTAAACCAGTGTTGAAATCAGTTTGGGTTGGCATACCCCCTTTTTTTTATCTTTTCATCATTTACCGTGAAACAAAGTAGTGCAGCTTTACAATTGTTCTAATATTTTGATATACATGTATATACATATAGATGTATATAAAATGTGAATCATACACCAAGTTGTTATATTAAACATTTATTCACATGAGAAAATGTCACCTTGACATACACCATGATCTGTGTATGAAGTTCATGTCATGAGACATATGGTTCAATTTTATTTCAATACGTCGCGTGCAAGTTGGGGTCATTAGCAGTAGGAGGAAACAAAAACCAATAGAAGAAATGACCACAAATTTAAGTTCAATCGACACACTCAGTCTTTTTATTTCGCAGAGTTATGATTAGAAGGAAATAATAATATCTATAATTTTATTACCTCTAATACCTGTAGTTGTTTTGTTTTTTATAAATTTATATACTACATGACGTGTAAGTGTGATTTTGTGAATACAGTTAGTTTTATTATATTATAATATTGCAAGCAGAATAACTGTGTGTGGCACAACTGTCGGCCATATTGTTTGTCTTTTGTATTTGTTATGTTTTTTGTCAATTCAGCAGTTCTCCCGTTATCGACCCTTTACAATGGTAACTAACAAGGACAGGGGATAAACTGATAATTCCGTAATTAGGGGCCAATGAGTTGTTAAAATATAGTTGTCTCCGCCCTTAATTGTCCCCGCTGAGTTGACCCCGCCATTAATTGTCCAGCCAAAAGTTGACGCCACCATTAGATGTCCAGCGGGCAGAAGTCCCACGTGAATTTGTTCCGTCAGGAATTTGTCCCACGGGAAGTTGTCCTACCGGCAGTTGTGCTACATCTCCGGACAATCTATATATAAATAAAATCATGCTGTGAGTATGTTTCAAGCCTGTCCATTATGCTTCGTCATCGCAATCCACCCCAATATATGTGGTATCAAATTAACCAGCATAACTCTGTGAATGTTTTAGTCCATCAAATTTAGGCCCTTGGCGAAATTGGGCCCCTGGCGAATTTAGGTCCCCAGGCGAAGTTGGGTATCCTGCTAGTGAGTAATAAATAGATTACATAAACTTACTCTTGTTCTTGTATATAACACTGAACAGCTGTAACAGTAAATTGACCCACATGATTCTGTAATAGGAAATAAAACATACCATTAAAGGGGCAAAATATAGAGGAATGGTGTATTTACCTTGTCTCAAAATTTCAGCTCAAAATATTGAGTCGTTTGGACGTGAACGTCAAAACTGCTTATCCAGACAAGTAACCCTTTTAATTATACGGTTTTTAACGTCCCACTTTTCTACATACGCCATAGTGTGCTATGAGGGGCAGCAGCACTACAGCCTACTCTTATATTGATTTTCAACAGTAAAACTAAAAAGGGTCTTTTACGTGCACCCCAATGAGTACATGTACATAGGGCCTGGGCCCATATTCACGAAAACTTAAACTAAGTTACAACAGAAATTTTAAGAAATACTGCAACTTCATTGGATATATGCAAATTGATTTTACTGCTAAGCCAATCGAATTGCAGTATTTCTTAAAATTTCGATTGTATCTTAGTTTAAGTTTTCGTGAATAAGGACCCAGGACCCAAGTTCAGAAAGCATTCTCAGACTTCAGTTAAGGGTTTACGCAAAATTCAATGTATCAAATACATCAATAAGAAACTATGTGCAAAGTTTTGTGTTTCTGGATGAAAGATATTTCTCATAAACAGTGATTGAAAGTTGAGTAAATTCTTAACTTAAGTCTGAGAATGCTTTGTGAGAGAGATGGGGTTTAACATCCACTCAACAGGAAATAAAATATTGTTATAAATAACCCCATTATGTCAATAATTCGCTTGTGCAAAAAGTTCTTTAACTGTAGAAGGAAACCAGAGGACTCAAAGAAAGCGAGGTCCTGACAGTTGGAATTTGATAGAAGAGTACATGTAGGTCATGTTGCAACTGTCCGTGCAAATTTCCGTCATACACAAACTGTATGGTGTATGCCTTCATTAACCCAGTCAGTGCAGAGGATTATTTCATTAATCATTTGTTTAGTCGTGTATTTTTCCTGCCTTTGTATTGATGTAAATTATGTTTAAAAATACATTATGGAAGATTAGATAAAGAGCTGGCAGTTCTCATTATAATGGTTAAAAACTAGATAATGTAAAGGGAACATGCTCAAAATTTCAGTCAAATTGCTCTATCCTGAACCAAGATATTAGCGATTGAATTTTAGGCCTAGCCTCGATCATCATTACTAAAGTCAGTACAATAAAAACATAGTATTACCAAGCATTTGACCATTATGCTTGGACGACATATTTTTCATGTGTTATGTATATTCATAAATAAATAGTTCTTGTCATTTCATTATAACAGAATATTATACATTGTAAATTGAGACCAGTAATACCTATAGTCAGACACTAGTCTCCTACACTTGTTTCAATATAATTAAATGTTTTCATTGTTTTAATGTTTTACAAACAGAAGTATTATTGAATAGTTGTTTTAAGGATTTATTTAGTGTTTAATTAAGCTACACCTACATGTTATAAATCAACATATTTTTATTTAATATAAGTCACCAGTGGCGATATTTTTTTTACCATAACAACCAAGTCATATAAATTAAACCCAAGTTTTGCTGGTCAAATAAATTCATATCCAGATTATATACAGTGGTTGTTCCTGATTTTATGGAAGTAACCTACTAGGTTACAATAGTCTCGATTATCCAATCTTGCATAAATCATCAATGAGTGTTGAGCAGCAAATCGGATTCAAATCCAGTGAAAATCCGACACATAAGACGGTATTGAGAGTTGATTAAGGTCTTTTCAAATGTCTAATTAATAATTTAGATAACATTTCAGGCCTAAAGAAAGACCAGAAATAGGCAGATTTACCTCTTGCATAATGTTTGTTTAATCAATTTTGTACCACATAAAATGATTATAATTAGTCCTTGACAATTATTGTACCGGTTAAAGATACATTATGGGAGATTTTTCTAGAGAGTTGGCCATTCTTGCTATAACAGTTTAAAAGTAGATGATGAAAGAAGAATATATTGAAAATTTCAGTCAAATTACTTTATTCTGAACATAGTTATCATCGTTGTAATATTTGACTAGAAAAGGTAGCGAAATGCGTCTTCACCTTGGCTGATCGTTTGATTGACAGGTGTTAACTCCACCTACATATCTCGATTATCAAGTAAAGTTTTCAATGGCATACGGAAACGCTCTACAACGGCCTCGCTAAGTACACTCTATCATTTAGCCTCGATTTAACTGACATATTTTCATCAGGTTGTATCATATTTGATTTAATCAATTAGTGAAATCCTATTTAAATCTGAGCTGTAGCCGAGCCATCCGTGGGTCTACAGAGTTGATTTTGGGCTTGTTGTTTAAATAAAGATCTAATTTATAATTTCTATAACATCTGAAGCCTAAATTAAGACTTGCAATAATCAGATTTAGCTCTTGCATAATGTATGTTTAAGGACAGTCCCATAATCTTTTTATCTATAATATAAAAGTGTAATAATCAGCTGATAGTGATAAGTATATAATGTGGTCATTTATTGTCATCTATATAGTCTCCATGAACTTATATGTAGGTCAGTGGGTTAACAATATCATAATAATTATGATTCATGCATATACTGTTAAACGAATACTGTTGACTAATGAACATACACGTAGGCCTTTTACTAATGACTCAGGGTGGTTGGATGGCCGAATGGTTAGCATGTGCACGCTGTATCATAAGGCCTGTCATTGAATCGACTGGCGTCGTTTCGAATCCCCGGTTGTACGTGACAAGGAGTAAGGTCGCCTGTCCAACCTCGTGGGTTTTCTCCGGGTCCTCCGGTTTCCTCCTACTGCTAAAGATTCCTACGCGCAAGCGAATTATTGAAATAAAATTAAACCATATGTTAGTCCCGACGTAACGATGTTCTGATATCAGAATGTTAAACCCTTGTTATTATTATATATACTGGCGGTAGTTTTTACTTTGATGTCCATAGAAGTTATATCTCATAACAACCTGTCATGACATCATCATAGGTTGATATATTCGTTCATATCAACCGCTGATGACGTCATGCCTTAGTCATGACAGGTTGATATTTCATATCAACCGCTAATGACGTCATCTCAGGTCAATATATTCGGCTCATATCAACCGCTGATGACGTAGATGATCGAAATAATAAAAAAAACCCACAGAAATAAATTTTTATTCTTTTGACAATTAAAATTTGTTATGGTACAGTTTCTAACATTCAGGACCGAAAAAGATGGCGTACTTATCGACGGAGGTCGGGTGTTCGATCCCTGCATTGGCCGAGAAAGTTCATCCAGATTTTCCGGCGTGTTTCTTCCTTGTCAGTGATGCAGGACGGAGGGGCTGACAAGGAAAGCTGTCTAGTCGTTCGGGACGAAAAACTGAGGTCCCGTGTACACATTGGCGTGCACATAAAAGATCCCTTGGCAGTTGGAATTTGATATAAGAGTAGGCCGTAGTGCCGCTGTCTGGGCAAAATTTCCCTCATAGCACACTGTATGGCGCATGCCCGTCTTCATTAGCCCAGGTTAGGAGCAGAACAGTAGGACGTTAAACTCCATTTCATTTCATTTCTGTACTTATCGACATACATGTATTTAGATCGGTTATCCATGTCTAAGACATCTTTCAGAATTTTCTATTCGTCCACATTGCGATTATTTCTCCACACACTACAAGACTTGAAAGTATTTATCGCCCAAGAGTTCCTTTGTAAAGTATTTTTGGGTACTGTCCACTTAAAACAGTCGGTCAAATCCTTCTCTGAACATACTGAAAACCTTCAATCATGGTTCACTGTCAGAATTCTTGGAAAAGAATGCCTTTTGGTCCAAATTTTCTGCAGGCTTTGGATAGATCCTCGTCGATATTTGCATTCACATCTATTTCGTTGTCAATATGTTGGCTAAAAAGGATTGATTATTCGCCTGACTTCGTATTACTATCCATTTTGTTTTTGCTTTCAATTCAATAGTCCAAAATGGCGACGTATAAACAAAAACATGCACGTAATTGCACGCGATTACTTCGGTAATTTTCGCTATTTGGCGGAAACTATCGAGCAATTATCCAATCGTTGTTGCCTTTTAATGGAAGAGCCCATTAAATTTAAGGGTGAAATGGCGTTGTATATGTCGGATATAAACCTACTCTCCCTCGGATTGATATGGTAGAGAACGCTTGGGCTTCGCCCGCGCGTTCTCTACCATATCAACCTCGGGTAGGTTAATATCCTAGATACTTAATTGTAACAATGTATTATTTTTATTGTAGAGAAACCATCAAACGTCAAAACGAAATGTAGTCATCTAACGTATTGATCTCATCAAACGTAGTTATCATCAAAACTATCATCACATTATCTTTTAACATATTCTAACGAACGATTCAATATTTTATAACGAACGGTTTATCTTAACGTCACGTATTAACATACTGTGTTAACGTAACGATCGATGTGTGATCTATTAGAGGAACAACTTGTAATAAACGATTTTGTAATAAAGACTTGTTTTGTTATTAATAAAACACACGAATGATTTAATACAGGGAAACGGTGGCAATACACTGAACTGTAACTTCATGAATTATGGCCCCTGTTTGTATGAAAAATCACGTTTTTAGCTTGTCCACACTAGTAGAGATCCCAATTTTTATCTGATTTAGATGAAACTTGAAATGCAAATGTTTATAATCCAAAGATCTTGATTCCTTTTAATATTCACGCATATCGGACTGTAACTAGATTATGGCCCCTGAGACCTAAAACACCTACTTAATGATAACTATTTGATTAGCTAACAAATTAATAAACATTATGTATATCAGGTGGACCGGCAATATGGATTCATTCAAAAAGTATTGTACCCATATCACGAATGTGGTACAATATGGATGGATGCTTGACAAATTCACCGCAAATAGTAGGTCCATCCTTTAAATAGTGTTAACATACATGTAGTACAAATTATCTTTAGCCGTACCCGTCACATCACATTCACCACAGTTTACATAAACAAGTGGTTGCAATGCAAGATACGCCCACATTTTGCAAGAGATGGACTGAACAGAAAAGCGTTTTTTTTTTGTACAATAAGAGGTGTTGATTAGCGCAAATATCAAAAGGATCTCAGCTCTTTGGGATATAAACGATTACATGTATATCAAGTTCCATCAAAATGAGATAAAAATTGTGACTTCTAGAGGGTGCACAACCTTGGTATTACCCAAGAATCGCCCATTTTATCCTATATATTTCGAGTTTCGTCAAAATCATAACATATGGTTTAATTTTATTTCAATAATTTGTTTGCACGTAGGGGTCTTTGTAGTGAGAGGGAGGAGAGGAATGGGGTGTAATGTCGACTTGACACAATCTAGGTCATTTCGGGACTAACATATAGTTTAATTTTATTCAAATAATGCGCTTGCGCATAGGGGTCTTTTTGGCAGTGGAAAAAAATTGGAGGACGCAGAGAAAACCCACGAGGTTGAATAGGTAGGCGACCTTACTTCTTGTTTCATACAACCGGGGAAATCAAAACCATGTCAGTTGACTCAATGACAGACCATATAATACAACGCGCACACGCTAATCATTCGGCCACCCAAACCCCTCCTCGGTACTGTATGACATGTGAAATGTTAATGATATAGACCGTATAATACGTTTTTTTGGGCGGTTTTCTGGGTCACCCGATATAAAATGACGTCTTATGTCTCTGTATGTCTGTATACTCTATAGTCCAGTTACCTAATTTAATGAACTTTGTGATAAATATCTATTACAAATATTTTATCTATTATTACTATCAGTCATTCATATTAACGTCTAGCACAAGAAAGAGGGTATTTTATCATATGAGTAAAGATACATTCATTATGTAAGATTTAGATAAAGAGCTAGCAGTTCTCACTATAATACATGTAGTTAAAAACTAGATAATGTAAAGGGAATTTGCTGAAAATTTAAGTCAAATTGATCCACTCTGAATCCAAGATTTTAGCGATTGAATTATGAATGGAAGTCAAACAGGAAATCGGAACCTAATCCAATAAACATCGAGAGTTGATTATGGTCTGAATAAGTTAATTAATGTCTAATTAATAGTTTATATAACATTTAAGGCCTAAAGAAAGACCTGCAATAGGCAGATTTATGTATGTTCAAAGATGCATTATGTAAGATTTAGATAAAGAGCTGAGAGTTCTTGTGATATATTGATAACTTCATGCAAATTGATTCTGAGCAATGTTAAGAATGTTTGAAGTTTTGACAAACGATCTACCGGATTGTCAAGTATCATATTGCCCATCTTCAATAGAAGGTTTGATCTCGCTTTAACTACGTACATCTTATCAAGGCCTTCACATAATACCCTGCATATTGCGGCACTAATTTCGAATGGGTACAAGCCCAACTTGTGAGCCTATCAGATTCCTCGATCGTCACGAATACCAAGTCTCGCATTTTCAAGCTAAAATGTCCACCTGTGCTAATCGAGTTGCAAAGTTCAAGGTTCATTCAATGTCAAGGTTTCTGTGGAGGTCGCGAAGTCACAACCTCTGATTGGACGCTACTGCTCATTTGTTAATAGATAACATAGCTATAAGTTCGGGAATTGTGAAGTAAACAAGCAACAGCCAGATGTTTAAATCATGGCAATATGCATGTTGCTTCAGGAACATGCATATTGCCATGATTTAAACATCGATTGATCTTTTGTATCCAGCACTAATTTCTTTCACATTCGTTTACACGTAATATCAAATCTTTGTTTAAAAATTCGTAAAAATCATTTAAAATCACCAAACAACTAATTTGTACTTGTGTCCAGTTTAAAGCTGACTGATTAATTTTGATAATGAGTGTCAAATATACAAGTGTGTAATTTCCTGACCTCTGTTCAAAAATTAATCATTATACATCAATTGGGTTGTTTATCTTTTAACAGTGATTGAGAAATTAAACACTAGTAAATTAGACACCCAATCAAAGATTTAATATTGTATAGACTATACATGTATAAGGGTAGCTTGACATCCAATGGAAAGTATAATGGCCTAACTAACACGACAAAGGTGCCGCAAAAGTGAATCAAGCCAGTTTTGTTTTTGTCACCCATCCCAGTCCACCGTTGATTAGTGATGGACAATTGGATATTATTAAAATATGATCTACTTACCTCTATTAATATAATTTTAGCCTTGTATAGTGGACATTTTCTTCTTCTGATATAGCACTCTAATTCTGGCTTCCAGTATAGTATTAATAGTAGAAGTCCACAGGTTAATATCACCAATAAAAAGAAAACAATGTCTTTAAGGGTGTCCTTTTTATAACCATAACATTCCTAAAAAGAAAAAAAAAATACCACAATGGGGTTCAACTTCCACTCAACACAAACTGGGTCATTTTGGGACTAACACATAATTCAATTTTATTTCAACATTTAATTTGTTTGCGCGTAGTGGTCTTAAGCAGTAGGAGGAAACACACTAGACTGGACAGGTGACCCTACTCCTTGTCACGTACAAGTTTGATCAACAATTAGAGTTTTCAGACATCTGAGAAATGTGGAAGATTGTAAGATTCAAACTGAAGACCATAATATGGCATGGTTTCTGTCTATAAATTAATAACAATATTGAGAGAGACAGACAGACAGACAGACAGACAGACAGAGAGAGAGAGAGAGAGAGGGGAATGGGGTTTAACCTCCACTAGACACAAACTAAGTCATTTTGGGACTAACATATGGTTTAATTTTGTTTCAATAATTTGCTTGCATGTAGGGCACGTAGGGGCCTTTAGCAGTGCGAGGAAACAGAGAGAGAGAGAGAGGAATTGGGTTTAATGTCCACTCGACACAAACTAGGTCATTTCGGGACTAACGTATGGTTTAATTTTGTTTCAATAATTTGCTTGCATGTAGGGCATGTAGGGGCCTTTAGCAGTGCGAGGAAACAGAGAGAGAGAAAGGAATTGGGTTTAATGTCCACTCGACACAAACTAGGTCATTTCGGGACTAACGTATGGTTTAATTTTATTTCAATAATTTGCTTGCACGTAGGGGTCTTTAGCAGTGAGAGGAAACAGGAGGACCCGGCTAAAACCCACATGGCTGGGCGAGCAACCCTACTCCTTGTCACATACAAGCGGTGAATCGAAATCACACCACGTGACTTATGACAGACCTTATGATCCAACAACAATGCGTTAACCATTCAGACACCCAACAATATTGAAATAAAGGTTTTAAGTTTTTTAAACTGAAAAAATACCAGAAAATATCACATTACATGTACCTATTGTTTATTGAAGTTAACTGGTTATTACAAGTAGGTGTAACCATGATCTTTAGTGAACATGTGGTTATCATTAAAATATACCATATTGCATTTATAAAGGCCTAGTAGTAATAAATAGCCGCCTTCCTTACTTCTATTCAGTTAAATGTTTCATTTCTTTTTAAAGATACATTAGTTAAGGGCTAAATTTGCTTCAGATGTTATAGAAATTATTAATTAGACCTTTATTTACATGACAAGCTCAAAATCAACTCTGTAGACACACGGATGACTTGGATACAGTTTGGATAAAAACACTTGTCCATTAAATCAATAAATGGCTGACAAAGCTGATGTTTACCGTTAGTCACTGATGCTACTACCGGAGACTGCCAATGAAAGGCCTGCCAATTGAGGGTACCGTAGCCATTGAGAATCTTACATGATGTACATGTACTTTATAATCGAGAATATTTGGGTGGAGTTATCGTCTGTCAATCAAACGATCGGCAATTCTCGGAGACGGTGCGGAGACAGTTGATGCCTATTCCTAGTCCAAACTTCAAACAGTAACAATTTTGTTCAGAATAAAGTAATTTGACTGAAATTTTCAATATTTTCTTTTTTTTATCATCTATTTTTGAATTATTATAGCAAGAATGGCCAACTGTTAATTAAACTCTTAACTACATGTACATGTAATGTATCTTTAAATTAAATATTTAAATTACCAACAGATGTCATCCAGTTTCTTCTATTAAAAATATATACTGCTTTGATAATAATCAAATTAGGCCAACTATATTGACTATTAAACTAAAAACATACATTACAACAACATGTACAATGTACATGTACATGTATATTTCTCATGAACAAGTTTGATCCTAAGGCATCTGTCACAGACTACATCAGACACAAATATCATATAGGTTATGTGATAATCTGTGACTGATAAAGTCTGTGATAAGGGCCTTATGTCCAGGGTACATGTATGTTTTAAAATTATAGATTTGAATTAGGCCTATTGATAGTCCTTTAAAGGGACAATAACACTCTTGCTGGCTTGACAGCTCCAGAAAATAAAAAAATAGCCTTATTCTAAGTACTAGATGTTTAAGTGACCTCTGTTGTGTAAATTATCCATTACATCCTATGGGTTCGAAAATATTTTTAAATCCAAGTCACATTTGAAAAGGTTTACGTCAGGATTTTCAAATCATTTAGTTGAATTTTTCCAATTTTTTAAATTAGGTGTGATAAGATGAAATTTGTATCACCAATTAATTGGAATATTGTAAAATAGTACAATTTGTTGACCAGAATAAAGATTGGGACATATTATTCAGTTACAACAAGAGTGGTATTGAGCCTTTAAGGAAGGAGGGGGGGAGAGAGAGAGAGATATGAAGTGAAATTTACCCTCCTATGTTCTGCTCCGACCTGGGCTAATGAAGACCAGGGGTCTGTTTTGCGAAATTTTAACTAAGATAAAATCCAAATTTTAGTAATTTGATTGGATAATATTAGATTGATTTTAGTGCTTAGCCAATCACAATTGAAGTATCTACTAAAATTTGGATTTTATCTTTAGTTAAAATTTCGTGAAACAGGGCCCTGGGCTAATACAGGGAAATTTTTTCCCGGACAGCTGCACTACGGCCTACTCTTATGTGTATTTTGAACTCTTAGGGGTTCTTTTACGTGCACAGGACCTATCTCTCTTTCATACCATCTGACCGACTAGACACTGTCCTTGTCAGGCAACCGCCCTTTGCAACTGACAAGGGGAAACTGTGACGGAAATTGTTGATGAAGACGAAATATCAGTCTGGTTAAATAATAAAACACAGATCCTATTTCGTTTTGTTTTTATAGTTCAAAATTTCGTTTTACTTGTCTTTACTACACTTGGATCTGGAAGAGTTGTTATTTAACTCGTGTTCTGAAAGGTGTCAGGGATAAGCCAATGAAACGGTCTGTCACGGCGAGCTTTAGGAGTGTTTTGCACGGAACTGTGGGTAATCCAATAGTAACATCAATGCTGATTGGTTAATCAAATGTCTGACATCATAGGGTCATAAGTCGGTCTTTTGCCCCCTGACGTGACCTATCGCTAAAACATGTCAGATCTTCATGTAGTGTAGGCCATCGAAAGTATAAAAAAACAAAACGAAATATAGATCTGTGTTTTAATCAGATTGACAAAATATGGACATAAAAAAACTAGCTGCTTACTAATTGATCTTCTCCTCCTTTATTCAGTGTTATTCTGTTTAGTAATAAATTGTTCAAAGCACTCACACTGTCTCTGCTATCTGAAATTTCATTTAAAAAATCAACATAAAAAAAGCACAAACATTTACACAATAATAATAGGAAACACTGAAATAAGACTTAATTATTTGTGACATACAGGTAGGCTCAGATTTTCCTCATACAGTAGTGACTGACAATGGCAACAATTTTAATTAAATGAACATCTGCGGGAATAAATGCTGTGATTGCATGCTCTAGATTTTCAGATGTGGTTTCATATGGTCCAATTTTTATTTCATTTATAATAGCTACGGAACTTCAGATTTTTGAATAAATGCTGTGATTGCATGCTCTAGATTTCCAGATGTGGTTTCATTGATCCGAGAATGTGGCGTAAACGACAAAGGCTCACCAACCATGAGGTCCTGTGTTTAATTCTGACTGATGTTAGGAGTGGTTTCCCCTTGTCAGTGCTGAAGGAAGCAGGGCCTGGCAAGGATCAATACCCACTGACCATTCATTTTGATGGGACCCCCAAAAAGAACACTTGATAGATACATGTACAATTGGCTTCAATTACATGTACTTTGCGAAATTATTACTAAAAATGGACAAATTTAGCAGAATGGAAGTGGTTTTGACTAATCAACATTTCAATCAGATTTAATGAGATCGAAAAACTTTTCAAAGCGTCAATAGGTTGGGGCCTGAAATATTATTCAACTTTAACCAACTAACCCAGGCTGAAAATCATCACATAACAAGGTTTCAGAGAGAGACTTGACACAAACTAGGTCATTTCGGGACTAACATACAGTATGGTCCAATTTTTATTTCACTAATACCCTTGCGTGTAGGGGTCTTTAGCAGTGGGAGGAAACCAGAAGACCCGTAGAAAACCCATGAGGTTGGACAGGTGACCCAACTCCTTGTCTCATACAACACCCTGTCAGAAATATAAGGAAAAGTTTTCAATAAGGGGAAAATTCCCACTGTGAACAGAGAGAAAAGTAATGACAAGAAGTCGCATTATTATTATTATTATTATTGTTCGATTTATATAGCGCTTCATTACATGTGAAGTGTTTCTAAGCGCATCTCTAATTCAGAGAGTGTCTGTTACGGGGGATCACAGAACATAAAGTATTTGGCAGCCGAAATGAAATGGGGTTTAACGTCCTACTGTTCTGCTCCTAACCTGGGCTAATGAAGACGGGCATACGCCATACAGTGTGCTATGAGGGAAATTTTGACCGGGCAGCGGTGCTACGGCCTACTCTTATATTGAATTCCAACCGCCAAGGGATCTTTTACGTGCATTCCAATGTATACTGTACGGGACCTCGGTTTTTCGTCTCATCCGAAGGACTAGACAGCTGTCCTTGTCAGGCCCTCAGTTCTGCACCACTGACAAGGGGAAACCACGTCGGAAAATTCAGATGAACTTTCTTGGCCAATGCAGGGATCGAACACCCGACCTCCAGGCTAGCGAGCCAGCGTCTTACCCACTTAGCCACCGTGACTCCCTATATGGCAGCCATTTAATTTATAAAAGCTGTATTATTATTATGCGAGTACTAACTTTGACTATTGTCAGCCATTTTTCTCGCTTCATCCGAGCGTAATATTTATTCACATGACAGGCCCTAAATTAACTCTTGAGAGGATCAGACAATGCCCACCATATCTGCATCAATCTCAATGTTGATCGGCATCAATTTTCCGACCAAAACATAACTTTCCGCAGCACCGTAATGCAAGGAGGCTGACAATGGAATGCTTGACAACTGAGACTTCATCCAGTCAATTATCCACTGTATTGTCCTGACAACTTGACAATTGAGAACAGGTGGGTCTAGTTTTTATCTGTCATCTATTGGCAATTGTTGAAAATACATATAATTTATGGCTATTCGACAATTCATTGTCAAAACATTGAACATTCATAACTTTTAAAAACTTTCTCTAAATCTTGGATGAAAGGACCATTGAAATACATAAAAGTTAGATGTAGACTAATTTTTTAAGATTTCTGTTGTGCCTCGAGTCTACTAGTTCATTCACAGGAGTCTGACCTTCTATCCGTATATATATATGCATACACCATGTCCAACTAGACAATATACAATATTATATATTGTCTGGTTGGACATGGTGTATGCATATATATACCATACGGATAGAAGATCAGACTCCTGACACTCCTGTGGTTCATTCAATCAAGACTTGATCTTTTCTGGTGTATTTTTTGCATACCAATAACTTCTTTCTCAACACCATGTCACTCACAGCCACTGAAGCATATACCACGTCTTTCACTTTAACTCTCTACTTCTCTAGTTTATTTTTGGAAACTTTAGATTTACTCTTGACTTAATAGTGGACGAGAAGTTAGAGAGTAGAGGCTAAAAAAAAAGATAGTCTACCAATATAATATTATTTATCATTCACCTGGATTTTTCTTACCTATAGGGTGATTCATATTTGTCGTTATAGATTTGGTACCGCATGCTGAATGCCTAAATCAAAACATTGCTAATCATGATCAGAGTTAGTTAATAATTATAAAAGTCGGTGACCGACCGACTGACGTATTAGCGGAAGGAGATGAAATATAAAACAGACGATGGTTTGAAGTGCTATTACGTTTACTGCATTACTCCCCATCGACCGTTCGAAGGTGCTGTGTTCTTCAAAGATATCTGTTCAATTGATGTAACAGCCGCTTTATACTATTTGTACCTCCAATAGAAATCTCCTGAAAAGTTATTAAAGGGAGTTAATTAACAATAACAAGGAAAATTCCAAGACCGGTTCTTGTCTGAAAGTGCGAACTCAACGAATAAAATGGACAATTTGTCGGAAAGGGAAGAACGCTTACGTGAAGCAGCTAGCATTGGGGATTTGGATACTTTAGAAAATTTGTGTAAAACTGTGAGTATAAACTCCAAAAACAACATCAATGGCTGGACAGCGCTGCATTGGGGATGCAAAAGAAACCACGTAGGAGTTGTAAAAATTCTACTTCAACAAGGAGCTGACAAGAATATCTGCAATAACAAAGAAGAAACTCCAGATCAGCTTACAAACAACTCTGAAATATTAGAACTTTTAGGGTGTCCCCCAAAACCAAAAGAAGAGAAGCAATCTGAACTGCCAATCACCCCCAATTATATCGCAAATCCCCCCTTTCCCCATGTGAAAAATACACCCCAAATTGAGAAAGATCAAGGAAGACAGAAAGAATCATTTAACATGAATGGAAACCACAGTAACAGTGAAATTAGAAGAAGCAACCATGGAAATTCTACTGAAAATGAAATAGTGTTAAAAGCACGAATTGCGAACATGGAAGAAACAGACTTTATTGAAATTGAGTTGGACCGATCAACACTCACTTTCGTAGCTCTAGTGAAACTGTTGTGTGACGAATTAAAAGTTGATAGCAAATTGGTTCAAAAGGTCCGCAAGCGTCCGGATACCATTGTCAGAAAAGACAAAGATGTAGCAAGACTAAAAGACTTTCAGGAATTAGAATTGGTGCTTACCAATAAAGCCCAGAGTTCTTTGTCCAGAACGTACAGTAGCGGTAACTACAATGCAATTGGTGCTGCGATCAAAAAAGAACAGATTTTATATTGAAGAAAACGAGAAGGACAAATTAAAATAACAATATCACATCATTTTATTTCAGACTTATAGTCGCACATTTTGGAGGGGTACTGGACAATTCGTGCCCAGCGAACTAGTCCCCAGACAATTCGTCCCCTGACATTATTCATACCCTGTCAATTGGTGGGGTACAAATACATGTAGTTTCAGGGGATGAATTGTCCGAGAACGAGTTGTCTGGGATGAATAGCCCCAGGGGACTAATAGTCCTGTGACGAATTGTCCAGGGATGAAATGTCTTTGGGGTCGAGTTGTCCGGGCACAAATTGTCCTGGGACGAATTGTTTGGGGACGAATTGTGCCAGAGCCACTTTGGACAATATCTAATTTTGACAGGTTAATGTACATTAAAATGTACTCATTGCTGTATTTATTATTGAAAAAAAAATCACAAACTCAACTCCACTCAGCAAACCTCGGCAGATTCCTTTACTCTACATGTAGCCTTGGCTGTATGATGGTAAGTGATATGTACGTACGCCTATACAACTGTGATGCGGCATGGGTTTACTTACTAGGGACACTTGCCGCTTTTAAAAAGAAGTTCTCAAAATTGCGTCGTTCGAAGCGTGCAAAGTTGTCCTTGTTTAAAGAAAATCGGAAAAATTTGAAAGAAAAATAGCTTCAGACTTTGAAATATTTGTATGATAAAACATTCTTCAAAAACGCCGTCATGGGCAACGCCGTTGGTAATCTGGGAACTTGAAAGTAGTTCCAATGGCAGGCTTCGTCACACAGCCTCGGTTAGATGTAGGATACTGGAATCTCTTGAGGTTTACCGAGTGCCTCAACTCCAGACTTGTCTAAGCCTATTCTATCAGAGGCCTATTTAAAGATTTAAGCAAAGAGTACATGTACCATTAACCATATTCCATTTATATTGTCTGAAGAGGACGCAAATGTTGACATATTTTCAATTCATCATATCTTTATAAATACTAAACGGAATTGAACCATTGTTGAACTGATATTACTTTTAGATATTCAACTTTCATAATATGGAACCATTTGTAAGCCTAATATTTCTTCTAGAGAATCAGCTTTCACAATATGGAACCATGTAAGCCTAATATTTCTTCTAGAGAATCGACTTTCCTGATATTTTAGATACAATGTACATGTCTGACTAATTGTACACTGGATTCAAAATACCTCAAATCACAATCTCAATAGCAGGAATTTTTATTTTACACACAATCTGATTAAAATACATATCTATATTTCGTTTTTTTTTTTTTATACTTTCGATGGCCTATACTACACGCAGATCTGACTGGTTGTACTGGAATGTCGCATCAGGGGTCGCACTAGCGCCTTTTGACTTATGCCGTCAGACATTGATTAATCAATCAGCGTTGACATTTCTAGTGGTTTACTCAAAGTTCTGTGCATCGCACGCCAAGAACTCGTCATAAAAGGGCCCTTATTAACGAAAACTTAAACTAAGTTACAACCGAAATTTTAAGAAATACTGCAACTTCATTGGATATGCAAATTGATTTTACTTGTCAGCCAACCGAATTGCAGTATTTCTGAAAATTTTGATTGTATCTTAGTTTAAGTTTCCATGAATAAGGGCCAAGACCATTTCATTGTTTGATCTCTCACTTCAACCAGGATGTGGGTAATATAACAACTCTGCGAGATCCTAGTGTAGTAAAATCCAGCAGCGGATTATCAGTGAGGCTGATGAGGCTGCAGCCTCAGGCCCAAAGATTTTGTAAAAAAAATTTTTTTAGACTTGTCTAATAGGATTAAAAACGCATAGACAATGAATGTTAGGGGGGTTGGGTTTAGGCCCACCGGGAATCAACATAGGCCCTGACCCGAAATTAATTAGGCCCACGCCATTTTAAATAGGCCCTATTTAAAAACTAAATAGGCCCTCCAGCAACTGAAGCCTCAGGCCTTGGTGGAGCTTAATCCGCCACTGGTAAAGACAAGTAAAACGAAATTTGAACTATTAAGAACGAAACGAAATAGGATCTGTGTTTTAATCAGATTGTTTTACACGTTCATATGGAAATAGGTAGTCTGGAGGTACATGTACCAATATAAATTAGAATTAAGTATGGACCAGCCACCTTAGAATTATGATGTCATATTAAAAATCAAAGGCCACCAATCGACAATGAATCGTGGAGTAATTGTCCAAAGGACAAGCATGCCAAGGTTTATGTTTCCCAAATTTGAATATGTGGAACCTTAGGCTTTTTATGAAGAATTTCTCCTGATCAATAACAAATAGATTAAAGATACATTATGGGAGATAAGATAAAGAGATGGCAGTTCTCGCTATAATAGTTAAAAACTAGATAGTGTAAAGGTAATTTGCTGAAAATTTCAGTCAAATTGATCTACTATGAGCCGAGAACGAAGCGGGTGGAATTTTCGCATAGTCTCGGACATCATTACTAAAATCATAAATATAAACAGCATAGTGTCGATTATCCACTTTTTTTGATTTAATTATCAATGGCCATTAGCGGCATATAGTAATCTAATCCAGCCAACATCGAAGGCTAGCCTTGACATCGAGAGTTGATTATGGTCTGGATAAGTTAATTAATGTCTAATTGATAATTTAGATAACATTTCAGGCCTAAAGAAAGATTTGTAATAAGCAGATTTTGCTCTTGCATTAATGTATGTTTAAAGAGCCAATTAATCTTGATTATATTTTGGAGAATAAAACAGCTTAATTCTGTGTTAAAAGCCCATAAAATCCTCTACCTTAGGAAAGTGAAAAATAACTCAATATATACGTGATACATTTTCAAACAAGTTAAACACGTCGGTCTTCATCTGGAAATAGAGACTGATGTCTCAAGCTGTATTATACAGTATCTGGATAAAAATAGACTTTTATTTAAAAATAACGTGTAGGTGAAATTTACTTTTCATTATCAAGTACAGCATGTGGGTCATGCACTGTATAGACCTGGCAATAGATTATCAGGTCAACCAAGGAAACAATTGACCCGAAATCTTAAAAGGGTTATGTTTCTGGATAAGCAGTTTTGACATTCACGTCCAAAGGACTCAATAGTTTGAGCTGAAATTTTGAGACAGGGTAAATACACCATTCCTCTATATTTTGGTGCTTAAATTTCATGTCTACACAGACTTTTATTTCTGAGACTCTGTTAAAATTGGGATGTTGCCTTTTAGAAATGTATGGCACCTGGTTCAAAAATTCAAGGATTAAATCTAAATTAAGAACATCTGCTCCAGAAACTGGTCTGGAAATAATGGGTTTAGATGTACCTGACAAAATGTCAGATACTAATGAAATAGTACCTGACATTTTCAACTTAGTGCTGGACATGTATTAATAATATGAATAATATGGCAAATCAGTGCCAGACAAAATGACAGGCACCAGAGGTTTAGTGTCTGACAAAGCCTGACATTGTCTGTGACAGGTGCCTTATTTCCAGGCCTGCAGAAAATTTTAAACAGATTATGCTTAATGTTTATTTATATTGTATTTTTATGCACCCACATTTTCATGTGGTTGTATATTGTGGTCTCCCTTGTCCATCTCTCTGGATGTCTGTTAACATTTTGTTTGTGGACACTCTACAGTTCACAACATTTATCCAATTTTGATGGAGCTTGAAATATAGGTCTATCTCCCAAAGGTCTCGGTTCCTTATGCATCTGACCATAACTTCATGAATTACGGCCCCTGATTTTACGAAAAATCATGGTTTTAGTTTGTGGACACTTTAACTAAGAGGTCACAATTTTTATCTAATTTTGATAAAACTTAAAATGTATGGTTATACCCCAAAGGTCTCACTTCCTTTCGATATTCAGACCCTAACTTCCTGGATTATGGCTCCTGTCAGATTACATGAAAAATTCATGTTTTTAGCTTGTGGATCCTCTAGAGATTTAAATATATCATTGTTACACCCTAATGACGATTGAGTTTGAATTTCGTGGAAATCTGACCGAAACTGTGTGACAAAATGGCTGCTCCTCTTTCTCAAATAGTGTAAAAATATGTAATATCAAGGTTGTGAACCCTCTAGACGTCACAATTTTTTTCAGATTTTGAGGAAACTTAAAATGTATGTTTATAACCCAAAGATCTTGGTTGCTTTTGATATTGGCACATATTCGACAGTAACTTCTTGGATTATGGCCCCTGTTTGTTCTCTGTCCACCTGTTGCAAATTTATATGGAAAACAATCACTGGTTTATTGTACACATATAGTACAACTTTTCAATAAGTGTTCTTTTATCGTTATAAAGCGTAAATTTTTAGATGAAATTGTGCTTAAAGATACATTATGGAAGATTAGATAAAGAGCTGGCAGTTCTCACTATAATAGTTAAAAACTACCTAATGTAAAGGGAATATTCTGAATATTTCAGTCAAATTGCGTCTCTCTGAACCGTTTGAATGTTAGGCCTAGCTTTAATGATCATTACGATAAAAAAATATAGTCTCAATAATCCATTTTTGGATTAAATCATCAATGAGCGCTGAGCAGCAAAATGGATTCAAATCAAGTGAAAATCCGACACATAAGATGGCATCGAGAGTTGATTATGGTCTGAATAAGTTAATTAATGTCTAGGCATAAAGATTAAAATTGTTGAAATGTTTAATAAAATGAGAAATAGGCGGAGAAATTCATGAATTTAACAATGAACTCAATGGAGAGGGAATTACTGGTCTGAGTCCATTAGAATAAAATGATAGTGGGAAAATGTGAAAAACACCTTATTAGAATTTAATTTTGACAAATTGCCCGATTTATTTCTCCATGGGACTCACACATGGGTTTGTTATGTTTTTTTTGGGGGGGGGGAGCCGCCCCCCCTCCCCAATTGTTTTTCGGGGGGGGGGGGGGCTGAATATACTTGGACCCCCAAAATTTACGTTGTTGGCCCTATCCCCTATTTATTTACAACAGTTATTAGGATTAGTTAAGATTCTATCTGTATAAAACTTGTACATATCCCAATATGTTGGTGTGATGTTTTAGTTTAACCCACGTAAAATATGCCAAAACAGTGTTTACAGAAGACCCCCCAAATGTTTTTCTGAATATACTCCCCAATTGTTTTTCGGGGGGGGGGGGGGTGCTGAATATACTTGGACCCCCAAAATTTACGTTGTTGGCCCTATCTCCTATTTATTTACAACAATTATTAGGATTAGTTAAGATTCTATCTGTATAAAACTTGAACATATCCCAATATGTTGGTGTGATGTTTTAGTTTAACCCACGTAAAATATGCCAAAACATATGTTTCACGGCTTTGCCGATGTATGTCTCCAAAGCTGAATTCGTCGATAACTTCTGTAGCGACCACTGCCCTGTGTACTGTCAACTCTCATTTCAGAGTCCACAAAAAACGATCCTTTAAACGACTAAAGGGGGGGGGTGCTGAATATACTTGGACCCCCAAAATTTACGTTGTTGGCCCTATCTCCTATTTATTTACAACAATTATTAGGATTAGTTAAGATTCTATCTGTATAAAACTTGAACATATCCCAATATGTTGGTGTGATGTTTTAGTTTAACCCACGTAAAATATGCCAAAACAGTGTTTACAGAAGACCCCCCAAATGTTTTTCTGAATATACTTGGACACCCCCACCCCCCCCCCCCCCCCAAAAAAAAAAAAAAAAAAATTTACATAGTAGGCCCTATCTCCTATTTATTTTTCATAACAATTATTAGGACTAGTTAAGATTCTATTTGTATAAAACCTGTACATATCACCAATGTGTTGGTAAAATATGCCAAACAGTGTTTACAGATTGTCAACATTTTATATAATTTCATTTGCGGACCCTCCCCCCGCCCCCCAATATATGTTTCACGGCTTTGCCGATGTATGTCTCCAAAGCTGAATTCGTCGATAACTTCTGTAGCGACCACTGCCCTGTGTACTGTCAACTCTCATTTCAGAGTCCACAAAAAACGATCCTTTAAACGACTAATTTGGGATTATGGGGAAATGAATACTAATGCACTTCAATAAGAAATCCGCCGTACTGACTCTTACACACTCCTCACTAACAATACGTTCGATGAGTCATGTAGTAAATTTACAAGTGAATTAATAACTGTAGCAAAGAAATATATTCCAAATAAATTAGTAATCATTAGACCACGAGATATGCTGTCATCGTGGATGAATAATAGCATAAGGAAGTAAATCGAAAAATAAAATCCACATAAAAGCTAAAAAGTCAGATTTGGCAGACCACTGGGCACTATTTCGTAAGACAAGAAATCAATATATATTTTTAATTCGGAAATGTGAGAGAGAGAGAGAAATGGGGTTTAACGTCCACTCGACACAAACTAGGTCATTTTGGGACTAACATATGGTTCAATTTTTTTTTCCATAATTCGCTTGCGCATAGGGGTCTTTAGCAGTGGGAGGAAACCGGAGGACCCTGAGAAAACCCACGAGGTTGGCCAGGCGACCCTACTCCTTGTCACGTACAACCGGGGATTCGAAACCACGCCAGTTGACTCAATGACAGACTTAATGATACAGCGCGCACATGCTAACCTTTAAGCCATCCACCCCCCAATTCGGAAATGTAAAAGTGAATATCATGAAAGTTTAGATAATAAAATTAATGATGTCAATGACCTTGGATCAAAGTCCTGGTGGCAGGTAGTCAACTAATTTATAAAAACTATGGGTTCATCGAACCATGACATACCTCCATGGGCATCACACAGAGGGGAGGGGGGGGGGTCTGAATATACTTGGACCCCCCCCCCCCAAAAAAAAGAAATTTACATAGTAGGTCCTAACTCCTATTTATTTACAATTATTAGGATTAGTTAAGATTCTATCTGTATAAAACCTGTACATATCCCATATTTTGGTGTGATGTTTTAGTTTAACCCCGTAAAATATGCCAAAACAGTGTTTACAGACTGAAACTTTAAAATTTTTGATGTGGGTGGCCCCCCAAACCCTCCCACACTCTCCCTATCACGTGACATTAGCTGCTGTGCAGCCTTTTGCCTCCGGCATCACAGATTATCAGCATTTTATATAATTTCATTTGCCCCACCCACCTATATATATTTCACGGCTACGCCTCTGCATACCTTCTATAACAACAAATACTGGCACAGCATTCACACCTATAGAAAAGGCAAATGCACTTCAATACTTATTTTGCTGAGCAATCCAAATTTATGATCTTAATCACCCATTAAATAACCGAAATACCAACAGTATAACTAATATTATTCTACAGCCGAATGAAGTTAAAGCCATACTTGACTCTATCGATACTGCTAAATCATCTGGCTCTGATCATATTAGTGGAAAATTATTAATATCTATATCTAAAGAAATTTTTAACCCATTATGTACTCTGTTTAATCATTCCCTTAGGTGTACCTTCCCTTTGCCAACCTTGTGGGTTTTCTCCAGGTCCTCAAGGTCCAAGGTTTCCAGGTCCCTTACGCGCAAGCGAATTATTGAAATAAAATTAAACCATACGTTAGTCCCAAAATGACCTAGTTTGTGTCGAGCGGGAGTGGACGTTAAACCCCATCTCTCTCTCTCTCTCTCTCTCTCTCACCTTCCCTTTGATTTGGAAATGTTAATGTCTTAGCCCTATATAAAAAAAGGAAATAAGGATATATGTTCCAACTATCGCAGATATCATTACTCTCGATAATAACTAAAATCATATGCATGTCTTTAACTTCCTTCTAGACAACAACACACTTACAAAATGCCTAAGTGGTTTTATGAAAGGAGACTCGACTATCTATCAACTTCTAGACTTAAAGTAGCTAAGTCTCTAACTCAATATCATGCAAAGTCTTATACGTTGAAAAACGAATTATTTGTCAATTCATATCAACATTGATGTTGTGATCTTACCAGGAAAAGGTAGGCTTCTGATATCCAATAAACATTTTACCATTGGTACACGAATCGTGTACCATAGTGCGTTTCAGCGTCATTTGCAACAATTGACGAGAATGAACGAGGCAAGATATATTCCACAACTCATGTCCAACAGTGAGCCATATCTTATCTGGAGAGCTTGTGCAATAGACTGGAATAACCAGACGCTAGAAATTGCTATTCGGTTGAGACTCATGCCGTATTTCGCTGGACATAACTGATTTGAATGTAAACTGAAACAATTGAATGTAAATCAGTTTATATACAATCAGATTACATTATTATATGCGTTGCGACCCATTTGGGTCAATTTCTAGGTCCCAATGATTTTTATTGTAATGCAATCGATAACGGTTATTATACGAGAACGGTGTTCTGTGACATCAGCAAAGCAATAGATAGGGTTTGACATGCTGGACTCTGTCTTAAGCTTGATGCTGTCGGGGTCCGAGGCACATTGTACAGTTGGTTTAAAAGTTATATAACTGTTCGATCACAGGGTGTTGTTCTGGACAATGTCGCCTCGGAGTCACCATTCGTCACTTCCGGTGTTCCACAGGGCTCCGTTCTCGGACTGCTTCTATTTTTAATCTACATTAATAAATTCATCGAAAATATTCAATAAATATCAAATTGTTTGCCATGATGACACGTCTCACTACTTAATGATAAAAGATCTGTCGGAAAGTGCGAAAATAATGAATTCGGATATCGAGAAAATCAACGTCTGGTCCAAAAAATGGCTAGTTTCCTTCAACCCCACAAAAACAGAATCACTAACATTATCTATCAAAACCACACAATAACATACCACCACTTTTTATGGACACCGTTAAAATAAATGATGTGCAAAACCACAAGAACTTGGGTTTTTTCTTCCAACACAAACTTAAATCGGATATCCACATAAATAATATTTGTAATACAGTATCAAAATTAATCAATTGTTTAAGATCCCTAAAGTACAGGCTAAATAGGAAATCACTTTTCATAATTTACAATTCTTATATACTACTGCATTTCGACAACGGCGACATTAGTCGCACTGTTGCACTGATCACCTAACGAACCAACTAGAACACCTTCAACTTGACGCCTTACGCACTATTTGTGGGGCTGTAAAGGGAACTAACTAGCCACCGTTTACTCTATCTGGAAACTGGTATTATTCCTTTGAATGGAAGAAGAAAAAGGTATCAATTACAGACAATATATAAAATTATTAATGAAACAGTTCCAAATTATTTATCCAACCACATTAAATTAAAAACATCCCCACATAATCTTAGAAGTTTAAACCAGAATTAAATGAAATATTTTGCAGAACATCTCTCTATTCCAATTCATTCTTTCCATCAGCTATCCAACTCTGGAACAGCCTAAATCCGTCCATAACAAATGTCGTATCACTCTCAAAATTTAAACAAGGACTCTCTTAACATGATCCGAAAATAACCCTCTTTTATTATATTGGCAAACGTAAAAATCAAATTATACATACTAAACTAAGAGTAGGCTGCAGTAATCTAAATTTTCATAAATTTACTAGACATATTTCAAATACTCCAGAATGTTCATGTGGTAATTCAATAGAAGATCCTTATCACTATCTCCTTATATACTATTCAAAAAAAGTAGGGGATATTTGATTTTTAAGTGTTATTAAAGTCACCTAATGAAACTGACGAAGAAACAAATGACAAAATGAAATGAAGTTCACATTCATCGATTTATTCCAAATGATCGTTAGACTAAGTAAGGCACAGACTGACCATTATAAGGGTAAAATGATACCCGGGGTCAAACAGCAAAGTTACCACAGCATCACAACCAAGTCAGTAACGGGTAAATCCTCCTCTGTTTGCCAAACAAGCATTGATCCGACGTGGCATACTCCTAATGAGACGTCTAAGGTCATTTTGGTCCAGATTGTCCCATTCCTGTTGCAACGCAGCAGCAAGTTCTTGGACATTGGCAGGACGTTGTTGACGTTGACGTAACCTCTGTCCAAGCATGTCCCAGACATGCTCGATGGGGGAGAGGTCGGGACTCAGTGCTGGCCAAGGTAATGTGGTGATGTTCTGTTGTTGGAGGTAACCTGTAACGATCCTGCCCCTGTGACATCTTGCGTTGTCATCCTGGAAGATGAAACGGCGGCCATGACGTCGTGCGAACGGCACAACATGGACTGCCAAGATGTTGTCCCGGTAGTACTGGCCTGTAACACGCCCTGCAACAACATGTAAAGCCGTTCTTCCAGCAACAGTGATGCCTCCCCACACCATAACAGAACCACCCCCAAATCGATCATGTCTGATGACGTTAACGTCTTGGAAGCGCTCGTTTCGACGACGCCACACCCTCCTACGTCTGTCCAAAAAATCAACAGTGAACCTTGACTCATCTGAAAACATCACATTGCTCCAGCGTCGATTATCCCAGTGTTGACGATCCCTACACCAACGACGTCTTGCCTGAATGTGATGATCTCTCAAACAAGGGATCACGCGAGGACGTCGGGCGCGAAGGTGACCCCTATGCAGTCGATTCCGAATCGTCTGGCCACTCACTCTCACACCAGTGTCTGTTTGAAGACGAGCGCTGATCTGATTTGTTGTGATGACACGATTTCTCAAGGCCAAGGTACGGATAAATCGATCCTGGGCTTGAGTTGTCGCCCTTGGTCGACCTGAGCGTGGTCTGTCCTGTACAGATTGTGTATCACGGTATCTGGACCATAGCCTGCTTATGACAGACTGAGAAACATTCATCGTCCGCGCCACAACCGCCTGTGTTGTGCCGATCTGTAGCATGCCAAGGGCACGTAACCTTTCATTTTCGGTAAGCCGACGCATATCAAAATTTGTTTTCTGGTCACTAAAACAATTAAACTGATGTTTCCACCCTGGAATTCAATGCCACAATGACTGTAACATTCAAAGTCAGAGTCGTGCAAATCTTGGGTTGGACCCCCATGATGATCCCAAGCATCACCTGCATTCCATGCGGTAGCTATTGGTGCGTTTGGGCGTCACATGTAACTGGAAATGTTTCTTCTGTTAGGTTCTATAGTGACATTTTTTGTAGTCATTTGCATATTTTAGTATTATGCCCCCAAAATCAAATATCCCCTACTTTTTTTGAATAGTATTCAGATGCTCGAAATAGAACAATCGACATTTTACCCCCGACACGGAAAAACATTAAAGTGCTACTCTGTGGATCGGAAAAATTAAAATACGACGAAAACGTGTCAATATTTAACCAGGTGCATAATTTTATTGAAAACAAAACGAAAGATTTAAATTTAAAAAAAAATAGCGGATTTTAATTATTTCAAATTTATGTTTACATGTAAACATTGTTATGGGTTATGTGTATATATATATATATAATTTTCTTTTCTTCTTCTTTGTTTTTCAATCTATTGTAATATTATGTAATTTATTTGTAACCGAGAGAGGGGTTTATATAGGCTTTGCCTGTTTCCCAATCCCCTCAGTTTCTGAATAAATATTGTTTATATAAATAAAAATGTTTAATAAAATGTTATAGCCTAAGAAATTAATAGATAAAATTACAATGATAATACGAAGTATATACTGTTTAATGGATGTCATTACGAGTATACAAGATATTATAAATGTACATTTACAAGAAAATAAACAAAAAACAACAATTAAATAAGCATTCAACTAACAGTAATAATAGTAAGTTTACTAAAACGTTTGACTTTATGTATTTTACAATTTATTAAAGATCATTCTACACACAGTGATCCTTGTACTTTTTACTTCGAGAATAGACCACTGCATTAAATGGCCGCCATATCCAACAATTAGCATACTGTTTCGGAATTCGGCCCTACTCCGGTTCATATCTGTTATACATAAAAACACTAATTAAACCTTTTCAATATATATTTCCCGAAATTCTCGAAATATACTTAGTGTTTTCGACTAAAGTCGTCGATTTAGGACAGAAAATGTCTGTCAATGAGCTTAGTGTCTATTCTTAAGAGGAGTCAACTATAGACAGCCTAAGTTGAGTATGATTAAAGATATAATACAATTAACCCTTGAACACCTGGCACAGGTAATAATATTGACTGTCCTGGTACCTGGTAAAAATTAAGAGAAAAGTATTGTATTTATTATTGACTGTGTCTGTGACAGATGTTCTATGTTCAGGTGATCGTTTGATATTATTAAGTCACCTCCAGCCTCATGCATATAATCTGTACAAGATGAATTTAAAAAATAAAAAAACGACATGATTTTATATGACGTAACTGTGGGTTAGTGCTAAAACCTACAGTCCGAAGCCTCATGCATATAATTTGTATAATGTGGTGAATTTAAAAATTAAATAAACAAACATGATATTATATGACATAATCCTGGGTTAGTGCAGACTACAGTCTCAGGCATATAATCTATATAATAACATGAAGTTAAAAATAAATAAAAACATGATTCTATATGACATTATCTTGGGTTAGTTCTGTAGCCTATCAATCTGCAAGGAGATTTTCTCAGTAAGGTCGACATCATCAGCGTTAATAAACTGTTTTAAACGGAACATAGCCTGAATATGTCCGTTGTTAACAAGTGTTGGGTTAAATTCCTCCCGTTTAATCAGAACTAACTGACCATTCCCTTGTTTAATTTTATGACAATAGGATTCATTTAATTCAAACCCTTTTAAAGGATCATCTAAAAGAGATTTTGACATAACGGCTAGAACGGTACGACTGTTATGTATATTGGTAATATTAGCATCGGCAGTTACCTCCCCTATTATACCATCACGGAATGAAATGTAAGATTTTATCAAATTTCGATCAAAATATGGAATAAGATTCGCTATAACCCACAATCTATCGGGAGCATGTTCATCATTTACCAGAACAAATATATCATGTTGGTTCTGCTCATCTTCTCCAACTTCCGGCGTCCATTTCCGTTTCATCTTGGGTAAAATATAAATATGATATGACGCCATTATCTCGAACCGGAAGTAAATAATGCCAATAAGTAATAAAATGGACAGAAAACTAAATATACCCAACACAATACTTATAGTTACAGAGTTAGAAACTCGACAGTTAAATTCATCTAGTTGTGAATTAACAATAGTTATTCTCCCATCGCCATTAACTGTAGAACAAGTTATATTAGATCTGTTTTTAATGTTAGGTTTTGATTCAAACCAACCATTTAACCACAAATTATCACAAGAACAAATTAACATGTTATTAGAAAGATCAATCTCTGTTGATAGTAACTTCTGGATAGTTTCTGGAAGATATTTCAGCCTGTTGTTGGCAAGATTCAAATACTTCAATTTATCAGCAGAACTGGTAAACTCTGATGAAATATTTGTTAAATTGTTATTTGAAATGTCCAGATGAACAATTCGGCTCATATAAGGAAGTTCTGGTAAGATGCCAATGGAATTGTTCTGAAAGTTCAGAAATAATTTCTCATGGAATGGTAAACGTTTCGGCATTTCTGCGAGTCCAGCATTCTGACAATTAATGACCATTCTATCAGCTTCTGGTTGATCCTGACATAAACATCCGGAAGGACAGGAATCGGTGATGTTGCACACAAAATCAGATAAATTGCGATGTATCATACCGGGCTGACCCTTTAAATTGGGCGGAGTGTTGCAGATAAAATCAGTAGATGAACCATTTAGGGCACCCATCAATGTTCTTATAGCCGTACTCGAAGCCAAAGCTGCTATTGGATGTATTCGGCAATCACAATGCCATGGATTACGGTCCACGATAATATACCAATACAGCAAAGTGCTCAGCAATGATGTCAAGGGATTTCCTATGGCATCGAACATTTTTGTGTCCAAAATTTTCAGGCTGTTGTCGTTCAAATATATTACACCAGGTCCATACGTTTTGCTCGGATCCATTGTGAAGTTAGATTTGTTGGTAAGTTTTGTAATTTTGTTGTTACTCGCATCAAATAAACAGAAAATATGTGTCATGCCCAGGGCCCAAACTACGTCAACCTCTGTCAAATTATTATGATCCAAGCCGACTTGATTTATTTTCTTTAATCCATTATGAAAGACTCCCATCTCTATTGTATGAATTTCATTTCTGAACAAGTAAATGGTGCGTAATTTGTTCATGCCATCAAATATCCCGGCTTTTAAAACCTGAATTTGGTTGTCTCTTAAATCTAAAATCACCAATTCTCTCAAACAAGACAACTTTGGTAATTGCGTTATTTTATTGTTTTCAAGATCTAGATATTGTATTCTTGGAAAATTACAAATTTTTCCTGGAATCGAGGTCAAACAGCCATGCCGATGTGTAACTTTAAAGTTTGAATCCCGGGACACATTCGAAAAAAAGTAGCTAGTCGAATTTATTTCACAAGTTTCTTTGACATAAAGTCTGTTTAAAGCACGAAAATTATACGTGCAGCAATCGTTACAAAACTTCCAAATGTTCACTGATTCATGTCTCCGAGACAGGGGACGGCATTCTGGTTGGCAAACAACAAAATCTTGAGACTGTCCCATCACAAGAAACAACAAGAAATTACTGTCTTGAATTATCAACAGAATAAAGAGGAATATGTGGAATCGATACATCCTGTTTTATAACTTGTAATGTTATCTGAAATTTAAATATTTTCCTCTCACAAAACTGTTTTAAATGTTACGTATTGTCACAAGACTATAGATTGATAATATGTCTTTAGTTCATCTCGTTTCACCACTGTATCATCTGACAGTTTTACTTTAAGGATGTAGTTGGTGTTATTCCGGATCTTCTCATATTCTCATCAACCAATTAAAAACTTGCATTCTGTTTCTAATAATATGCATGGTTAATTGTTTACTTCCGTTTCTCTAAAACTAGACATCAATATGATATAGCTTCTTCCTTTCTATCATATTTATAAATTTAGGTACCAAATATATATGATTCAGTACTTGATATTATAAACCCAAACTTCAGTATGTGCGTATTATGTCGTCACCCTGTCCGTACGTACGTCAGTCAACAATAGGCTAGTTGCTACAGTTTTTGATGTATTCGTTTCAAGTTTGGTGTGAAGCATCGTGGACATGAGAGGACATACTTCACGAATATTAAACATTCTGCAACCTTTCGTACCAGAGCAATGCCCCCGTTTCCGAAAACCTTGTGAAGGCGATAAAGGCTAGTTTCGTATAAACAGATTTTATTGAAATTCGACATGTTAAATCATTTCAATAACAGGGTTGTACCTATTGGTCCATGTTTAAACCCCAGGAAATGAAATGAAATGAAATGGAGTTTAACGTCCTACTGTTCTGCTCCTAACCTGGGCTAATGAAGACGGGCATACGCCATACAGTGTGCTATGAGGGAAATTTTGCCCGGACAGCGGCACTACGGCCTACTCTTATATCGAATAAACCCCAGGGGCAGAGCCACGCACAATATTTGTGTTTAGGAATCGATCATCTTAGAACTTGGGATACTTATTCCTTCTACTCCAATGATAGCAACTATTGATTTTGATGCATCCCCCGACTCCCATGGGGGGTTCCACACCCACTTTTCTGTCTGTAAATAATCTACAGTTTGCAACGGTGTATTTGATTCTCCAAAAAGTACGACCGACGAACGCCAAAAAATATGGGATAATGCGACTTGATGATCGGGATTCATTTATTTCACGCATATTTTTTTATTCAGCTGTAAAAGATTAAAAGGCCATTTTAAGCCATGTCTTCTATAGCGTATAATGGGGTAATGCCGGCCATTTTAAGACATGTCTTCTATTCACTTAATTCATTAAATATTTTCATTAAATGTTATTGAAAATAACAATCGTTTTGTTATACGCCCACATTGAAATGTGGTCGTATATTGTCGCTCCCGTCCGACGGTTGATTTTCAGCAATTTCCGATAGTTACTACCATAGTTATGGCCCTTGATCTCTTTGAACTATCTTGTTGACGCTCTGGAAGCTAACGTTAATATCCAATTGACTTTAAATTTATATACAGTGTTTTAGGTCATGAGACACAGAAGCCTGTTGGTTTTCAAGGATTTCCCAAAATTACTGCCAGACTTATGGCCCTTGATCGCTTTGAAATATTTTGTGAACACTCTAGAGGCTAAAGTTAATATCCTATTATACGCACTGTTTAGGTTCATGAGACGAAGAATCCTATTGATTTTCAATTGGACACAGATCACCAAATATTCCTACGCCGTCACCCAGATCACCAAATATTCCTACGCCGTCACCCACGAAACAAGGGCCAAAGCTATTTTTAGTCTTCCTCTCCCTTTTCCTTTTACATGGCGATTTTTGTTGACTTTTTGGTGTAGAATCGAGGAAAAGGGTTTGAAAATACATTTTCTGCCAGGTTTTGGTGAATATTCCTAATTTTGATGCGGAAGGATACAAGAGTTGAGAGGTTGGTTAGGTTGAAATGTAGGGCCTGAAATTGCATGTTTACTTGTCTCTACTTCTAGCTTGTGTATCTCAAGTTTTTCATGAAGAACCTCATACGTGCTTTTGGGCAAGTGGTTGCCACATGTTGCTCCATCTGTGGTAGAAAGCGTTCTACCCAACGAAAATTTGGGAAAAAGTTAGAGCCGGTCTAAGATACGAGAATTAACATTGGAGTCAATGGGGAAATCTTTAGTGATCTGTGTCCAACTGATTTCGATATATACTGTCGGAGTTCTAGCCCTTGACCTCTTTGAAAAATCTTGTAGAAGCTTGAGACTAAAGTTAATATCTGATTTAGTTTAAATTTATTCACAGTGTTTAAGGTCATGAGAGAAATAATCCTATTCATTTTCCATAATTACTGCCAGAGTTAAGGCTCTTGACCACTTTGGGAAATCTAAAGACTATATCCATTTATTTTGTATTTTGATCTTTACTATTTAAGCCTATAAATCCACTAATTTTTAGATAATAATGTATTCAAGATATAGACCTAATAGACCAGTGGTTCTCAACCTTTTTTGCCAACGGCACACGTTGGAACACCAGGCTAAATATACATCAAAAATACTTGAATTTTGCAAAAATAAAGTCATAGACGGCATACAACCGTAGACAGAGACTAGTCACAGACACATAGAATGATATTATTAAGTCACCTCAGCCTCATGCATATAATCTGTATAAGATGCATTTAAATATAAAAACATGATTCTATGTGACATAACTCTGGGGTAGTGCTGCAGCCTACAACCTAACAAAAAGATGAATTTAAAAATAAAAAAAAAATATGGTTCCATGTTCAGGTGATCTTTTATCTATCTAAGGTGCATTTAAAAATTAAAGAAACAAACATGATATTATATGACATAATCCTGGGTTAGTGCAGACTACAGTCTCAGGCATATAATCTATATAATAACATGAAGTTAAAAATAAATAAAAACATGACTCTATATGAAATAATCTTGGGTTAATTCTGCAGCCTATCAATTTGTAAGGATATTTTCTCAGTAAGGTCGACATCATCAGCGTTAATAAACTGTTTTAAACGGAACATAGCCTTAATATGTCCGTTGTTAACAAGTTCTGGATTAAATTCCTCCCGTTTAATCAGAACTAACTGACATTTCCCTTGTTTAATTTTATGACAATAGGATTCATTTAATTCAAACCTTTTCAACGGATCAACTAAAACGGATTTTGAAATAACGGCCAGAACGGTACGACTGTTATGTATATTGGTAATATTAGCATCGGCAGTTACCTCCCCTATTATACCAATAAGATTGTGTATAACCCACAATCTACCTGGAGCATGTTCATCATTTACCAGAACAAATATATCATGTTGTTTCGGCTCGTTCTCGTGAATTTCCTGCGTCCATTTCCGTTTCATCTTGGGTAAAATGTAAATATGATATGACGCCATTATTTCGAACCGGAAGTAAATAATGCCAATAAGTAATAGAATGGCCAGAAAACCAAATATACCCAACACAATACTTATAGTTAAAGAGTTAGGAACTCGACAGTTAAATTCATCTGGTTGTAAATTATCAATAGTTATTCTCTGATCGCCATTAACTGTAGAACAAGTTATATTACATCTGTTTTTAATGTTAGGTTTTGATTCAAACCAATCATTTAACCACAAACTATCACAAGAAGAAATTAACATGTTATTAGAAAGATCAATCTCTGTTGATAGTAAGTTCTGAATAGTTTTTGGAAGATATTTCAGCCTGTTGTTTGCAAGATTCACATACTTCAATTTATCAGCAGAACCAAGAAACGCTGATGAAATATTTGTTAAATTGTTATCTGAAATGTCCAGGTGAACAATTCTGCCCAAATAAGGAAGTTCTGGTAAAATGCCAATGGAATTGTTCTGAAAGTTCAGAAATAAATTCTCATGGAATGGTAAACGTTTTGGCATTTCTGTGAGTCCAGCATTCTGACAATTAATGACCATTCTATCAGCTTCTGGTTGATCATGACATAAACATCCGGAAGGACAGGAATCGGTGATGTTGCACACAAAATCAGATAAATTTTGATGTAGAAAACCGGGCTGACCCTTTAAATTGGGCGGAGTGTTGCAGTTAAAATCAGTAGATGCACCATCAAGGGCACCCATCCATGTTCTTATAGCCGAAACCGAAAGCAAAGCTGCTACTAGATGTATTCGGCAATCACAATGCCATGGATTACCTTTCCAGGTAATTTCCCAATACAAGAAATTGCCCACCAATGATTTTAAGGGATTTCCTATTGCATCTAACATTTGTGTGTCCAAAATCCTCAGGTTGTTGTTGTGCAAATATATTACACCGGGTCCATACCTTTTGCTCGGATCCATTGTGAAGTTAGATTTGTTGGTAAGGTTTGTAATTTTGTTGTAACTTGCATCAAATAAACAGAAAATATGTGTCATGCCCAGGGGCCAAACTAGGTCAAACTCACTCAAATTGTTGTGATGCAAGGAGACTTTTTTTATTTTCTTTAATCCATTATGAAAGACTCCCATCTGTATTGTATGAATTCTATTTCTGGATAAGTCAATATCGCGTAATTTGTTCAAACCATCAAAGATTCCAGCTTTTAAAACTTGAATATGGTTGATGCTTAAAAGAAAAACCACTAATTCTCTCACGCACGACAACTTTGGTATTTGCGTTATTGTATTGTTTCCAAGGTCTAGATACTGTATTCCTGGAAAATTACAAATATTTACTGGAATCGAGGTCAAACATCTATGTCTATGTTTAACTTTAAAATTTGAATCATCGGACATAAACGAATAAATGGAGCTGTTCGAATCATCGGACATATCCCAAAAAAAGTAGCTGGCGGAATTTATTTTACAAAAATCGATGACGTGGAGTCTGTTTAAAGGTCTGATATTATATGTGCAGCAATCGTTACAAAACTTCAGCAGGTTCTCGCCTTCATGTATCCGAGATAAGCGACGGCATTCTGGTTGACAAACAACAAAATTTTGAGACTGTCCCATCACAAGAAACAAGAAATTACTGTCTTGAATTATCAACAGAATAAAGATGAATAATCGGAATCGATACATCCTGTTTTATAACTTGTAATGTTATCTGAAATTTAAATATCTTCCTCTCACAAAACTGTTTTAAACGTTACGTATTTTCACAAGACGATAGATGTAAAATATGTCTCTCGTTCATCTCGTTTCACTGCATCATCTGACAGTTTTACTTGAAGGATCTGGTTGGTGACGATAAATTTCCATTACATCAACACAGTGTTATTTATTCCAGATCTGTTCGTATTTAATGATGAGTAAATTCCCAACCCTATCTATCTGTTAGTTATATCAATTATTGTACAGCACTAGAGGTGAAATAAACTTAATCTAATCGAGTGAGATTTTACAATAAGTTATAGATTGCTTATTGCAACACCACCATATTCGACAACGTTTCACACATTGTATTTCATAAGTTTAAAAACAATGATTTAAATATACAGGCAGTGGGATTATTGGAAGATTGCCAGGTTTGATAAACCTCATCACCCAATCATAAACTGGCATTCTGTTTATGATAATGTGAATGGTTAATTGTTTACTTATTGTGATCGCGCTAGAAGCTGCAGTTTTTGAGAGATACGTTTGTGTATAGGATGGCGGTAATGAGAGGAGAAACTCCGTGAACATTCAACAGTCTGCGACTATTAGAACCCGAGTTACACGCCCTTTTCAAAAAGCCTTGTGGGCGCGCTAGGTGCTACAGTTTTCGACAGATTGTTTTAATGCATGCCCAAGCCCCAGGGACAGATCCACACCACAGTTTTGGGTGTATGTGTGTCTGTGTCTGCTACAGGCCGCAATTATTAACCAGGCCCGTAACTAGGGGAGGGGCGACGCAGTTGGGCTTAGCCCCCTTCCCCACGGTGATTAAATTGTCGACCATAGATATATATTGTCCGTTAATTTTACAGCACCCCTGAGAACACCCCCACCCCTCATTGTTTTGAGCTAGTTATGGCCCTGTTCTTAGTGTTCTTAACGGGTCATCTTGAAACATTGCATACTTATTCCTTCTACCCTAAGGATAGCCCCTGTAGTTTTTGGTGGCCCCGCCCCCTCCAGTACAGAGCTACGCCCATTGTGTGTCACCTACAAGCTGTGGGTGTTAATGGCATATTTATTCCTTATCCCCTAAGGACGACAACTGTTGATTTTGGTGCATGTCCAACCCCCATGGGCGATGTCACGCCTACTTTGTTGTTAAAATACTCTATAGTTCGCATGAATTAACAGATTTTGATCCAATTCGGCATTACCACTTGTTTCAATAACCGGACTGTACTTTTTCATATTAGCGCATGTCCAATCTCCAGCCAAGCCCAATTTTTGTGTTTATCGTCTACAGGCCGCAATTATGAATGGATCATCTTGGAACTTGGCATATTTATTCCTTATACCCCAAGGAAATGAAATGAAATGGGGTTTAACGTCCTACTGTTCTGCTCCTATACTGGGCTAATGAAGACGGACGCCAACTATTAATTTTGGTGCATGCCCATACCCCAGGGGTACAACCTCGGTTACCACGCCCATTAGATCATCCTGAAAATAGGCAAATGTATTCATTATACTCTAGGGAGTCTGCGCATGTTCGAGTCTCGTAATGCCTGATCAGTGTATGTTTTTAATCCAAAATTCTACTAGAAAACAATGTTGACATATTGTCAATGTGGCAAACAAAATGAAGAGTCACGGTGAAAAATATTCGGCAAGGATTCTAAAATAGCTTTAGACCAGCTTGTTCCCTGATCCGTTGTCATCCATTTGAAATAAGATATTTTTCACACACACACACACACACACACAAATATAGCTTTAATAGATAAAATGCATAAAATTACAATGATAATACGAAGTTTATTGAAATGTTTGATGGATATCATTACGAGTATACAAGATATTAGAAATATAAGCCTACATTTACAAAAAAAAAAAAAAAAATACCAATTAAAAAAAGTATTCAGATTCCAATGATTTTATGTATTTTACAATTTATTAAAGATCATTCTACACACAGTGTTCTATCTACTTCAAACTTCTAGATTAGATCATCTCTGTCCTAAATGACAGCCATATCCAATAATTAGGATACCGTTTCGGAATTCGGCCCTACTCCGGTTCATATCTGTTATACACCAAAATTCACTAATTAAACCTTTTAAATATATATTTCCCAAAATTCTCGAAATATACTTAGTGTTTTCATGTCTGTCAATTAGCTAAGCGTCTGTTCTCAAGGAGAGTCAACTATATACAGCCTAAGTTGAGTATGATTAAAGATATAATACAATTAACTTTTAAACACCTGCCACAGGTAATAATATTGACTGTCCTGGTACCTGGTAAAAATTAAGAGACTGTGTCTGTGACAGATGGTCTATGTTCAGGAAATCTTTTGATATTATTAAGTCACCTCCAGCCTCATGCATATATCAATCTGTTTCACAGAGAATTACGAGTCTCGTATAATATCTCTGTCATAGATGACTGCCTTAACACGTGCTGTCACAGCACGCGGTGTGAATCATTGGCTGAATGGCGCGTGTATTGTTTACATAAGACATAACTGCTTCGGAGAGAATGCTGCATTTTAGTCAATTTAATACCCATTTACAATAAATCGGAAATAATTTTTACCTACAAATACGTCAAACGCCTTTATTTATTTTTCCAATATATACAAAAAATGTTTTAGAATTTAATTTGTCGCAGGAAAAAAGTTAATATTTCTAGCTCATTAAGCCGCATCAATGTCATCCTTATCAGTGATTGTCGCGGCCAAGCAAATATTTACTGCGGATCAGTGTGGCATATATAAATATAAAAAAAACGACATGATTTTATATGACGTAACCCTGGGTTAGTGCTAAAACCTACAGTCCGAGGCCTCATGCATATAATTTGTATAATGTGATGAATTTAAAAATAAAAAATATGATTTTATAGGACATAAACCATGGGTAGTGTCACAGCCTATTAATCTGTAAGCATATAATCTATATAATAAAATGAATTTAAAAATATAAAAACATGATTCTATATGACATTATCTTGGGTTAGTTCTGTAGCCTATCAATCTGTAAGGATATTTTCTCAGTAAGGTCGACATCGTTAGCATTAATAAACTGTTTTAAACGGAACATAGCCCGAATATGTCCGTTGTTAACAAGTTCTGGGTTAAATTCCTCCCGTTTAATCAGAACTAACTGACCTTTCCCTTGTTTAATTTTATGACAATAGGATTCATTTAATTCAAACCTTTTTAAAGGATCATCTAAAAGAGATTTTGAAATAACGGCTAGAACGGTACGACTGTTATGTATATTGGTAATATTAGCATGGGCAGTTACCTCCCCTATTATACCATCACGGAATGAAATGTAAGATTTTATCAAATTTCGATCAAAATATGGAATAAGATTTTCTATAACCCACAATCTATCGGGAGCATGTTCATCATTTACCAGTACAAATATATCATGTTGGTTCTGCTCATCTTCTCCAACTTCCGGCGTCCATTTCCGTTTCATCTTGGGTAAAATATAAATATGATATGACGCCATTATCTCGAACCGGAAGTAAATAATGCCAATAAGTAATAGAATGGCCAGAAAACCAAATATACCCAACACAATACTTATAATTTTAGAAACTCGACAGTTAAATTCATCTAGTTGTGAATTAACAATAGTTATTCTCCCATCGCCATTAACTGTAGAACAAGTTATATTAGATCTGTTTTTAATGTTAGGTTTTGATTCAAACCAACCATTTAACCACAAATTATCACAAGAACAAATTAACATGTTATTAGAAAGATCAATCTCTGTTGATAGTAACTTCTGGATAGTTTCTGGAAGATATTTCAGTCTGTTGTTGGCAAGATTCAAATACTTCAATTTATCAGCAGAACTGGTAAACTCTGATGAAATATTTGTTAAATTGTTATTTGAAATGTCCAGATGAACAATTCGGCTCATATAAGGAAGTTCTGGTAAGATGCCAATGGAATTGTTCTGAAAGTTCAGAAATAATTTCTCATGGAATGGTAAACGTTTCGGCATTTCTGCGAGTCCAGCATTCTGACAATTAATGACCATTCTATCAGCTTCTGGTTGATCCTGACATAAACATCCGGAAGGACAGGAATCGGTGATGTTGCACACAAAATCAGATAAATTTTGATGTAGAAAACCGGGCTGACCCTTTAAATTGGGCGGAGTGTTGCAGAAAAAATCAGTAGATGCGCCATCTAGGGCACCCATCCATTTTCTTATATCCGAAACCGAAAGCAAAGCTGTTACTGGATGTATTCGGCAATCACAATGCCATGGATTACCTTTCCAGGTAATTTTCCAATACAAGAAATATTCTACCAATGATTTTAAGGGATTTCCTATTGCATCTAACATTTGTGTGTCCAAAATTCGCAGGTTGTTGTTGTGCAAATATATTAGACCGGGTCCATACCTTTTGCTCGGATCCATTGTGAAGTTAGATTTGTTGGTAAGTTTTGTAATTTTGTTGTTACTCGCATCAAATAAACAGAAA